ATGGGCGAGAGACGAATTGGCTTGCGCTGTGACCGCATTAGAGAGAGGAGAGACTGGCCTAATCGAGGGCAGAATAGGCATTGGAGCCCCATTAGCCCAAGTGGCACGCTTACTGGCCGCCGGCTTGCTCTTCCCAGCCTGAAGGTCCGAATAAGCCACCGATTGCTTGGAGGAGTTCTCACTCTCCACAGGTGGCACCGGGCTTTCCGATCTGCCGATCAAGGACCTCCGGAACCACGACGACTTGTATGACAAGGTCGAAGATTCACTCGCATCACGATTGGCGGACTTGAAGCTCTTGTCCGATTGCTTCCGGCCCAGAAGGCGAGCTGTGGAAGACTTGGGTCTCAATGGGTCAATGGCATCAGCAAAGTACTCGTGGTTGAGGGCCTGTGTCGAAGTCGGTCTATTCTTAGGATCCCACATCAAACACCACGTGACAAACTGGCTAAGAGCGGCGGGCCACTGGGGCGCCTGAAGGATGCTTTCCATGGAATGGGGCGCCATCTACGTTTCATTAGTAATCGCCTCGTACCGCGGGTAGCGCAGGGTAATCTTACCTTCGGGAACGTAAATCCCAGCTTCTGGGCAAGACGCGAGCCCTCTCTCCACTCACCACCTCCGAGCTTAGCTCCCGACTTACTGTACCAGTTACCAGGGCTTCCCATAATCTCACAAACACGCCAGACCTGGTCAACTTCGTTTCCACCAGGGAACAGTGGCTTCAGGGTAGCAATCTCGACCGCCATGGCGCCGATAGCCCACATGTCCACCGGTGCTGAGTATTCTCCTGCACGCAGGAGAACTTCAGGCGCCCGATACCATCTGGTAGAGACATATGTCGTATAGGGGAGCTTGGAGTGAGTCTCTCTGGCGAGACCAAAGTCGGCGATCTTCACAGTATATGTCGGGGGAGTAGAAGGAGGGGTGACGAGGTTAGAGTAACGGCTGAAAGCAGAGTCATTAGGGGCGGATGTCGAGACGAGGATGTTTTCGGGTTTGATGTCGCGATGGAAGAAGTGATGGGCATGGATATGGTCGAGACCCCCCAAGATCTGGTAAAGGATGCTCTTGACATGCTTGCCATCGAGAGGCTTGTGATCCCGGGCTTTCATTAATTGGTAAAGGTTGCCATCCATATACTCCATGCAGATGTGTAGTTTGCGTGAGAGCGGGTCGAGGAAAATATCAAGGGCTGGAACAAGGTGGGGATGAGGAGGCAGGGATCGCAGGAAGATGACTTCACGGAGTTCGAGGCAGGGAGCCAATGACTCGAAGGTCTTCTTCATCGTCTTGATGGCAACCTAGAAACAGGAATTAGCAACCCCAGCGAAGAAGAGCGTCAAGTGGGCTCGCGATAACATACCATCGTCCCCCTCCGTGCAACATTGGAACCAGCAGTCCGCACACGTGCGACTGCCACGCTACCAAAGCTGCCATCACCCACTTCCTTGAGGACCTCGAACCTGTCTTCGAGGCTGGCGACTGAAGTGGGCGCAGCGCCCCGTGATAAGGAGTGGTGGTCGTAGCAGACAGTCATTGTGTCTCTTTCTCCCTTCTCTTCTCTGCCAGCAGAAAATCCAAGAGAACTTTGTGCGGCGTCGAGGGGCCTGAACTAAGAGGTAAGGAATGTGTATAGGAAGTACACGGCTCTTCCAGTTTGAGTGTGTCGGGAATGTCGATAGATAGGATCAGGTGCGCATCATTCGCAGTCAGGCAATGTGATATCCACGGGAAGTGTTGTGGTACTGTCCCATGGGTAGGTATGGGTGAAGGTGCAGGATGCGATAAGGATTAGGTGCAGAAGAGATTCGGGACGAAATTGGGACCCAGAGAAGAGGGGAAAGGGGTAGTCATGTAGTTCTGAACAAGCGAAGGTGGAGGAGAGGGAAGATCTGGAAACCAGATGGAAGACCCAGAGGATTGGACGTGATCACTGTAGTGATAGGAGCGGATCCGGATGGGTGGACACAGACTAAACGAAAGGATGATCGGAGGCCGCCTTGGACAGAGAGGGGAGGGGTGGTTGTTGTGGTGGTGGTGGTGGGAGGGAGGAGGGAAAAGAGTAGTTAGTACGGAGTAGGAAAGGGAATAACTCGACAAGCCCCTGACGCGGTGACAGCTTTAGCCTTTACCAGCTCCAAGACGAAGAGGAGAAGTTGGGTCCGGGCCGTGGGGACTGAAGAGGCGGTCGACGACGAAGCGGGTTTGGTGAAAAAGGCGATGGTGCAGATCCGAAATAAAATAATATAAATTATAAAAATAATAATTATGCTTCCAAAGGATAAAATGATGCAGGTGGGTTTTTTTTTTTTTTTTTATTGAGGGGTTAAAAAAGGACTGAACCGGAGGGACGGCCAGTAAATGACATGGACCCAAAGGGTCGAATTGTTTTTTCCCTTGGGAATTGACGGCAGATGCACGACAGAGAGAATGTGATGATCATGCAGAGTTCTTGTTGTTGTGGTTCTCCATTCGAGGTTGGGGGAACGACGACGAAGGGGGAGGGGGGGAAAGGGTGGGCGAGTGGCAGAAAAGAAGGCAACAATTGAGGTGTTAATATGAGGGCCGAACGGTGACGCGAGTGGTCCAGCGAGAAAGAGACGCGAAAGAAAGGCCGGAGTAGCAAGCCTAGAGAGGCAAGATTACCTAGTAATTCAAACAGGACCTCAACTTGAGTCTGAACTACTACCCAGTTCACTTGCTTCTAACTACTTTTCTACTAACCCCAAGCTACCAAGCGCCTAGTAATATTAACCCTCTCTGGCCATTCGCTCCAGTCTCCGTATTAGCCCGGCCACTAAAGTATCCGCGCGAAATCGGACTCCGTAATCGTCCTTGGGAAAAAGAGAAAGAGAGAGAGAGAGTCATTCATTCATACCGACTGAATTCGTATTATTACTTAGCTACTAATAATAATACCCATGAATAATGTGGTCAACGCCATACCATGCTGCGTTAAGCGGACTTTTCCTCCACCGGACTAGTCCCGACCACTTGGTCACTGAGAGAGGAATGGTCGAGGAACGGAGACCCACCCTTTTCACCCAAGGAATCCGAAAAGGAGGTTCAGGGAGTTTCCCAACTTACCATACACGGGCGGCCCAAAGAAGGGGGAGGGAAAGGAACCCTCGAAGGCGGCACCTGGCGGTTCGGGTTCATGGTACATTGCCGAAAAGGTCAAGACGAAAACATGGAAATGCACCACAATAACTATCCCCGCGGCTAAGATGGAGAAATCTTGGGACAACGATCGTTTGGAACATGCTTGCGGAGTCCATACAGTCAAGTAGAGAGCAGTGATGAGGAAACACCCAGTTCTGAAGTCTACACCTGTGGGAGGAGCAGGAAAAGAGAAAGGAATAGATCCGTCGTTCTATCGAATTCCCCCAACTCAAAGAAGGAAAGAGACGAAAAAAATAAAAAAAAATAAAAAATAGGTGATTACTTTTTCCTTTCCCCTCAGATTGACTGTTCGTTAGGGTAGGTTTCGGGGTTTACGGTTTGTTTGTTTTGAAGAGTCCCCGGTCCACGGAGAATGCCGTAAATTACTGTCTTCCAATTACCGACATTTCGAACGGAAAGTCCCATGAATTCCACGAATGATTCTCACAGCTTTTGAGCTGAGTATTGCTTGCTGGCTAGTCCCTCAGGCAAGAGTAAGTACTTTGCGTAGGGCAGCTTGCTTACTTGCCCATGAAGCGAGGTCCCTGATGTTGAAGTATTAGACACAGCAATCTTGATCAGTGTGATCCGTAGTAGTGTTTCCAACCAATCGCCTCTATCCAGATGTATCTTCCGAGGTAGTACTTTGCCTGTGTTGACTAGGTGATGATAGTGAATCACGGAGACTACTACAGACCAGTTGTGTCATATCTTTACATTACATCTGAATCGGGACACAACCCCCGATCCTTTCTTAAGAGTTGTCATTCTCAACTATATCGAAATTATGTGGCGCAACTGTCGTCGTTTGAGCCCATGCCGTGGCAAATGAGATTCATCGCGAAGTGAAAGGATCTAACAAAGTTCGGTCTAAGATGAGGTGTAGAAAACAGTTTAGACTGTTCAAATCATCCCGTCTTGGAGATTTGGAGGACAGAGCAGACTTTCTCACATTCAAAGAGATCGAAATGAAAAACGGCCTGGGAGGAGCCTTAGGTACTTCATGCGACCAGTCATCATCACACGTCGCTTTGAAGACTCTGGACTCTGGCGAGGTCCAGCTTTAATCGACTCCACTTGGTCTCCGCCTCTAGTAATCGTTAGACGGGCGCTAGCAAGGTTGGCCAGGGGTTGGGCCGCGTCTCTCTTGCTTCAACCTGGGTTGCAACCTTTTCCCAGAGTGATGCGACTTGCTGCTCGGCCATCCCACTCAGGGTCTCGGATAATCATGACACTCTAGACTCTCCAGCGAATGTGACAGGTAGTGCTCCCTACACCCTAAACTGTGACGGTTGTACGGGGGTTTCGCCTCGTATAATCCATCATTCAGGGGTCGCATGTGATACCCGCATTACCTCATCTACAGCATCACCCCAGAGGGTGGAAAGAGAAAGGGGAAAAAAAAAATAAAAGAAAATAAGACGAGCTGCATCAAAACCCAGATTTGAGTTAAGATTACGGCGCAGGCTATCCTTGCCGATAATATATGAGCGTAAAAGATAGCTTGCCAGCCGAGGAATCATAACTCACTACTAATGCCTGTTCTGGGGCTTTGTTAGTCTACTAGTTAAATAAGTAGCTCAGAGTTGCTAGTTGCTGACTTCCGAATTGGATAGAGAGAGGTCAGCCGGGGGATCCACAGGACAAGGAAAAGAGAACATACTCCAGGCAGTGGGCAGTTTTACAGTTCATGCACGTTGTTATCTGGATCCATTATTATTGATAGTTCATCTGTTGTCTTGAACAATGGATCCAGCCAACAGTGGCTGGACATGTATCCATCCCCCGTACATCCGTCGCCTGCCTGCCTGCCCCCCCTCCCCCTCTTTATTATGCTTAGGTGGCTGACCGCCAGCATGGCAACACTTACAGTAAGTTAGTTGGAATACCCACAGGCTGCAACGACTGATCTTCAAATCGAGCCTGGAAACTGTTTTGCCATCTGCCGGTACTACATCGATAGAGATGTGGCTTGCATGTCTGCCCCTCCGGGTATGCTGGTCCCGTCTTTCTTGGGTAATCTACATGTGTAACACTTTTCCGAGGGTTGAAACGGTAAGGATTGCTTGGTCGACAGTTGATAGATTCATCAACAGCGGGAGATGGCCGAAGGAAAAGCGTCGCTGTTTCATCGATACTATTGGTGCTTCAGCTGACTGACAGAAAGAGAGGATGACAAAAGGAAAGAAAAGAGAGAAAAAATTTTCGCAGTAGTGTGAGAGAAAGTACGTACTGTTACCCGGAAAAAGAAGGAACAACAGTAAGACGCCGTACTACCATGTCCGAGGGAAAGGCAGGATGCCTTGTTCCAATCATCCACAGAGGTCTCCGCTACCCGCGCTTGACGTCTACAAGGTTTAAGACAATTCCTGGTGCTCTAAGTAAATAACTCAGCTCCATGGCAATCAACATATATGAGACGACTCTGAGTACTATGTTTCTGAAGGTTACGCGTTGCCACATTCTGGAGCTGAGGGTTGTCTCGAACTATCGGGTCAGTATGGATATGTCTTCGGAGTACCATGGACCGCATACTCCGTGCGCTGAATCTCGTAGAAGCTCCAACTACTCAGGCCATTAAAGTCCCCAAAGATTTGCATTGTGCTAAGAGCGCGATATTCCACCTGAGGGGCTACCTCATAGGGATAGAGGGCGATGCTCAGCAGTCTTCCTTACGAACTGATGCATACATTATGCACATGTATGGCTGATGCTGAATCCTTCTGGATGTATAGACTTCATACATCAAGCGAAGTTGATCAGCTGTAGCTAAGCCTGTGCATCTGCGAGATCAGATCCAGGACACAGACTGGTGCACTGTAGAAAGTACGGGGCACATTAAGTACGCAACATGGCCATTGCTTGTGTAGGACAGCTGTTACCACAGTTACCAATTCCTATATTTTTTTTTTTTTTTTTTTTTTTTTTTTCTCTCTCTCCCTCTCTCTTTTTTTACATGCAAAGAGTTCAGTTCGCCACTGGATACACCAATTCTTGAGACGAGGGAACCGCAGATAGACTCATTTACCAGGCATTTTCCGCTTTACCCTTGCAATGTGGGGTGATCATAGCCGATCTTATGATAAGATGTCATCGCTGGATACTTTGATGACGGGGAGGATCATCAACCCTCACAGGCGGCATTAGTAGGCGGGCATAATGGCCAAACTTTGAACGGACAATGCTTCCATCCACTACATACTCAAAGCAGCATAGATAGTGGCTTCATTGGCGTGATCATTTCCCATATACAGTAGTACTGTTATGCACGGAGTAGGATGCTCTTCTTGATAGGAAGATTTGGGGATTTCCATTCCTGTCACGGTGGCGGGTGATGGGTCATGGACGGAGAAGCCATGTCTTGAAGTTGGTCAAGTCTGGAGCCGAGACGCGTATGATCAGCTACACCGCACCTACGACCTGTGTACTGTTTACACTCGTTATTAAGATCCGGTTTTGATGACAGGCCATACAGATGCCAAAAAAGGGGTCTAGAGATGGATTGGTCACCGCTTGTGTCACTTGACCGGTGACAGGCTTCAATAAACCACTCGGTGGGAACGGCGAAGAATGGAGACTGTCAGTCACCGTCTTTTTGAGGTCCATAGCAGTATCCTCTCTCCCCCTCTTCTTTGGTGTTCTTCTCGTTTCTTCATTTCCATTCATGAGAATATGGGAGGAGGGGGAAGGGATGTATGCTCTGGGGAGAAAGAAGAAAACATTGAGGGGTTTGTGTTCTCCATACACAGTAAATGAGGACTGTGCGATGCTGTGGTGGGCCAACCAACCAACCACTCGTAATCTTGCCGGCATGACATCTGCTTTTTCCCCCCATTAATGGTCTTTGCTCTTCTTGCCACGGTGTGTCTTCCTCCCGCTACCTGGGCTACGCGAATTTTGTTTATTTACTTCTCCATCTGTTTTGGTGTCTCCTTGGGTGGCATCATGCCATTTGGACTGTGAATTTACATAATCACGTTTTAACCACAATAATCGCGGCTGTTCTTCCAATAGAGAGAAGGCTACCCGACATTAGTCCAAAGTGACAACCACCACCACAACAACTAACAACTACAAAGACAGAAAAAAGTTTGTGCGTGGGATTTGAAGAAAGAGGGGGAAAAGCCAATGATTGCAATTTCTTGGAAAGTTTCGGGCACCAGCGCAGAAAGGGAAGGGTGGGTGACTGGTACCGAGTCCTAGACGACTGGCTGATGGGCCTCCACCCCCAAAACGGATAGATCAGAGGGTCGGAAGACGTGGTTCTCATGGAACCAACGGGTTTAGTCGACCGCCGGCCGTCTGAGTTACCAGCCAAGGGTGATTGGGAAGACCCAACAGTGGAGCCGCTTCATTCGAATGAGTGGATGAAAGGCATTTTGCAAGCGGATACCGTGGACCTGCTGATTGCGCCGGGGCAGTCGGGGAATGCGGGTCCCCACTCGGCGTGAGGCCCGTCCCCGCTACCCGACAGACCCGGCTATGGATCTAGTTCTCTAGTCAGCCAGTAGTCGTTGCGTCCGGCGAGATGGTGAGGATTACGATGGAGTCCCCAAACGGATCCGTTACCAACAAATGGATCTTCTGGGTGTCTCGCGGCCCAGTTGACCTATCTCGCTAGCAGCTCCGCTGCTCCTTAGGGATCTCTTAGCCCTGCTACTATACCAGTAGCTTTCGAAGCCGGCTCCTTCCAAGAGCGTTCCAGAAGGATGAAGGACGTTCGTGGAATCGACGAAGAAGGAGATCAGGAGACGAAAATCTCGCAATTACCTTCTCTAGACAAAGAAGCTCATTGTGAGCGGCACCCCCGTCGGCTTTGCCGCTTGAGTTAACCGTTGGAGCGGAATAACTATGGGTAATAATATTGAGAGTGGCTCTCTATCTTTGACGGACTACGGAACGCCATGGAGGATCAACAAAGAATTCCCTGCAGGTAAAGCCGACTAAAGACCTTCTGGAACGCCACTAAGGATTCCACATTATTAATTCTCAATTGCCCCAGTCCATGACCTTCTTCGGGGGAGTGATCAAAAGTACCTACGAGCTTAGGCAGGTACAGGATGTGCTTGCATCAGGATGTGCGTTCTCCAGATGGATACCTCTGCCCAGTTTCTGCTCTTACTCACATGGGTGCCACCTTTCAGTGGGTGCGCTGTGTCTACTCGACTGTGTACAGACCCTCCTGTTGATCAGTCCCATCTAGCAAAGACAAATTTCATCAAGGCTGGCCAATCGTGATGTGAGTCAGGCTTGTGTTGACCCTGACGAAACATGATTGCTGGATCAGCCGGCTGGACTTGCAGTAGTCTCAGGGTGTCTGCATTTCCGCATGCCAGATCTACCCTTTTCCCTCTTTTTGGCTCCCATTTTCCAATTTCTCCGACGCGGTGTGCAGAAGGCTGTGTAGATCGATGAGAATCCTACTAGGATATCGGAGTACTGTGTAGAAAGTCCGATGAGAACGTAATCTCGCTTCAGATATGATGCATCCCAGTCAGCCTATGAAGAGGCGGGGAAGGCAAGTATACCAGCGGAATTGACTGACTTTTCAGTTCACTTCATTCAAGTGTTCATAATTCCTTTTCTTCCCCTCATCTTCGAGATCTGTGCAGTTAGTTCATGCTACGTCATTGTGCTCAGCTTCATTTTCACATCGGTTAACATACTTCGTAGTGATTCGTGACTCCAAAACACTTTCAGCTGAAGCCAAGTAGTGAGGGTAGCCAGGAGAGTAACAATATGTGCCCGCCGAGCTGATGAGAAACAAGCCACCAGCCATGCAAACGAGCACGCAAAAGCGCCGAGACATGCGTTTGACTCTAAGCGGACCGTTTGCAAGACATTTCATCTTAGACCAACGTCGAGCTATCTGTATGACACTATCATGAGAATCAACCTCTGAGAAGCAGACGCGAGTTTCTGACCTGCCCAACTTGGAAAATGACGATTTCCAGTGCAAAATGAGGGGAACATGGCGTTTTCCGTACTCAACAATACCATCAGCCTCAGGTATTGACTTCTTCGGACGGAACTTACCACTCAGGCTTCATGATATTGTCATGAGCCACCAGCATTACTTTTCCCTTCACAAAGTGTCACGCGTCACTAACTGGTGGCTGGCGCCTAGATGCTTATCGAATACCTTCGCAGGCAGGTTCCTCCCTCTTCATTCACCGTCTCACTAACACTGTTCACTGGAGCTTACGTTGCCTGGGTAGGAAGGATGCCATAGTGATAGATCCTGCTGAGAGCCTATAAAGTCACCTGAAAACTGTTTACTCTGTTTCTCCTTCGCTCCATCTCGCGTCTTTGACTTCGTGGCTGGTATCTAGCTGATCTGAGGCAACTTCATCATCGTCCTACTGATAGTCGTTCCCCCCGGATAGCTCTCACCATGGGGCCATCCAGACGGGCCAAAGTGGTTCCAAACGCCTTTGCCGGTGGCTATAGCCAGACAGTCAAGAATCGGTCAGTCTTCTGCTAGATACGCTTCAAATCGGTCTGACTGACTATACTATAGGCTTGACAAGGTTGTTTTCCCGGATAGGTATGTCTACTACTTCACTCTATACTGCATGGAATATCATTCTGTTCTACGGCTGACGCGAGCTTAGAATCAAATGCGGAACCTGCAAGAAGTTTCGGTTCATCGGCACTTTTTCTAATAGACAGTTGGACATTCTACGCCATGCGGTAGTGGCCGATGGAGTTTCGCCTGTTACCAGCGGAATTGCCAGATGCAGACAGTGCACCGGTCCAGGCAATACTGAATTGAAATGCTCCCAGTGTGACCGTGTCAAATCGATTGAAGAGTTCGCAAAGAACCAGCGTCAGGAGCGTGATACTGCGGTATGTTTCCTTGGTTTAGTCGCGGTGGAGTGCAGCTGGGCTAATCCTAAGACAGCGATGCATGAACTGTGTCCAGAAGCATACGGAGACTGAACCTTTGATCGATGAATTGAAGCAGATCACCGGAGGCGATGATACTACTGCTAGCTCTGTTACTGTTGGGAATCCCCCATGATCTCTACTTCTATATGTCTATATTTTACTTGTGATGTACTGACAAGCTCGAAGAGTCAGGCAGGCAGTAGTTCTATGGCTGTCTCGTTCAAGCGGCTCCAGCTGACCGGTGCTCATGAGGGATCTGGTTACAGTGACGATGAGGATGACGATGACGATTTGTCCGTTGGCGGTGGTGTCTTCCTTGAACCTGGACACACCGACGAGAATAGCAGCACCAACAAGGGCAAAGAGAGAGTCTTCACCGGCTACGATCCTCAGGGAAACCCCCATGTACTCACTCACCGTGCGGAGGCCACCCAGTCCTACGAGAGCGAATGGTCTGTCTGGGGAGTCAAGAGCAAGGCTAGTAGAAGTGAGGCCGGTCCCGCCAGAGCTACGCCGAAGAAGGAGTCCAAGTTCGCGAAGATTCCGGTAAGTGCTATCGATTCTGCATATCTACCAAGAGCCGATGTTAATGACGAGTGATTCCGCGCAGCGCACCATCTATGAGAAGGGTGAACTGCCGAGCATGGCCATTCCCGACGCCAGCGGTGCGAATATTCCTTCTGACGATGAGGAAGAAGAGAATGATTTGGACGGCTTTCTGTGAGCACACTTGATATTCCAGGGCAGAACTCAGGTGCAACAGTGATTGTGATCGTTTGAAGTTGATGGGATTATCGAGATGACTGGAAAGCTGTGAAAACCATATGAATTTCTTCTGTTCTCCAATTCGGGCTACTGTCTTAATTCTTTTATTCGGCTAACCAATCTTGCTTTTCTGAGATGGTGTGACAAATGTACTGTGACAGCCGGAAGCGATGGGTCACTGCTAGGAGGAGGCGCAATAGTGGCTGGATTTTCAATTGCGGTTTCATTGCGGTTCCATTGCTGTTATTATTCGGTTGTTGTATCCTTTGTAGTGCCAATTGAAGAATATGGACGGTTCCACCCTTATCAACCATGGATGAAGCGATCTTGGTTTCTACTACAAAGTAGGCTGGTTCCCGCCCAGGAACCAGAGACTGCCGACCCGCAGGGTCTACAGTAGTGGTGTCTTTATATAGCGGGTTAGGGAAGCATTGTAAATGGTTGTAGAGCTTCACTACATCGACAATTCGCCACTGATGGCAATTTTAAGAAGCCAGTTCTATAATTGCCATTGGCGAAGGATAATCCTGATGGAAGTCGAAGGTCACCCAAGGGGGTGGCCGAGAGAGAAGAAGCGAAGGCGAAATGATTCCATTCCGTCTCCCAATTGAGATCCCCGCAGCCCGCTGGCCATGACGTAGGCGGCCATCCTGTCTTTTCTTTTCTTTCCAGCCATAGACAACTCTGTCAAGTGTCAACATCTTTTTTTAGTTGTCACTTGCTTTTTTTCTTCTTTGTCTTTCGATTTTCTGTTCCTTTCTGCATCAGACCCGCGACGACCCACTCAAGCTGTCAGTTTTCAGCTCTATTTTCTGTTTTGTTGCCAGACCCAGCCCACTTCGCTACACACTGCGTGTATCCCGTTGGTTTCAGCATCCGTCGCCCCTCTTCCTGCCCCGTCTTTATTTTCTACTTCTTTCCCTCTGTTCTGGTGCAGACCAGTCGATCTGTCGCCACACGATTGTCGCACCTCTGCTTCCATTTGCTTTGGTATCTCTGTCCTTGGCTTTCTCAGTAGCATTTTACTGCACCAGCTCGCTACCTCACTCACAAGGCTGCTCTGGTGATTACCTTGCGCTCGTGATCACGCAGGGCAGACAAGACTGACCGGCGTCGTGCGCCCTGGCACCCGGCGCGATGGCTTACAACAGCTTCCCCAACAGTCCTTCTTACTCGCAGTTTGGAAGCATGAACCATGCCAATCCAACCGAAAATGGCGCATCATCTTACACTCCTCCGTACCCTGCACAATATGGGCCGGAGCAGGTGAATATGCCTCAGCCTCAAGTTCCTCCTACCTCCGCTTCTCCGACAGGTTACTATCCGAAACCTCCGTACGAGCCAGCTCCATGGCAGCAACAGCAGCATCAGCAGCAACCACCACCACCTCCTCCTCCTCCCGGGAGGATCAACGAGGCTGTGAATTCGGCCTTTCGCCAGGCTGACTCTCCAGCCTATCTGTCTCCAGAGGTGGTCTCTCAGATAACTGCGACGGTGATACAACAGCTGAAAGCGACGGGGTTGGACAATTTGCAAAATGATCAACAGCCGTCACCACCACCGCCGCCGCCGCAATGGAGTCATCCAGCTACAGCCGCCATGTATGGTGAACCGTCCCATTCACCTAGGCCGCAGAATACCCCTCCACCACCGCCTAAGATCCCACAAGGTAACCCGGAATACCAACCACCTGTGCCGCCTGTACATCCCAGCAGCCCTCATTTATACCCCGGACCATCCATGGGGCAGCCGGGTGAAAGACGTGGATCGCCAACAAGCCAGAGTCAGGTCAGCGACCATCACCAGAGCATGGAGTCCCGACCAAAGCCGCCATCGAGGGAAGCTACGGTAACTGAAATGACAACGTTGGACAAAGTATGGGGCAAGTTCTTCGAGGACGGGAAGCCAACAGAAAAGCTCAGCATGTTATTGTGCGGCATCGCAGTCCACCTTGTAAGTGCAGTCCGCAACCGGTGTGTTCTGGAGGCTAACGAGTCTGCTGGGTAGATCGAGAATTACCCGCCGGAGAATACTCTCGTTGTAGTTCCTGAAAAGATGAAACAGTTCTATGCAGATACAAGTGTGCCATCTGATCCATACCCTTGGGAAGGTCGGTCCTCGTGAACCTCTGTAATGGAGCGATTGTTGCTGACTTTGACTAGACATCTTTGACGACCGTACATCCCAGATCTCAAGGTTGCTGCGAAGGCTTGAAGTGGAACATCATCTCGTACAAAATAAACTCCATGAGAGGCCTGACATCCCGGGCCTGACTCCTCGTGGTTTTGCCCGCTGGGCTACTTTAATGATTCAGGCCCATCCTGAGAAAGAGTACGAGCGCTTTCAGAAGGCGCTCTTGAACATGCCCATCAACAACCCCGACAACCGGAGTGAGAGATTACCCAAGGAGTTCTCAAGGCGCTTGTTCCCTGATGCTCCAGACCTCTCATTAAGGGAAGAGATTGACCAGAAAATCATGGAGTTTTGCAACGTCGACTTGCCGCCCATCACCGAGGACGAGCTGAAAAAGGTGGCCGCACAGCGTCACAAGAAGTCTGCACACAAAGCATCAGTGAGCTCCGTCGACTCAACCCCTTCAATGGGAGAGCGTGAGCGTCAACCCTACTATAGCACATCATCTTCTGCCATTGTCGATGATGAGGACAAAGAGGTGCCATCGCGGCCTATTGAACGCGAAAGGAAGCCCTACACTGCGCATCCTGGAGGCGGTAAAGTGTACGAAGATAAAGCACCCAGCCATCGCCATGCGAACTCGATGTCCGCAGGATCTGGCTCGAAAGATGGCCCGATCGAGATCGGACCCCGAATGTCAGAGACGCACCTCCACACCGGGACTTCACGTCCCACAACTACGTTCGGACGATCTCGAAGTCCGTCACGGGGGGCTCATACAGGCGGCGACTATAGACACTCCGAAAGCGACCTGTTAGGCCATGGTAGTGGCTCTCGATATGGAGGGCTGTCGGACAATGACTACTACTACCCCTCAACTACATCTGCCCTCCCAGGAGACATTGACGACAGTCGCAAATACCACAACCTTAGCCCCGACCATGGCGATAGGCGACTATACGATGCCCTGCGGAACCGAGACAGCGAACGAGAAAAACTCAAGCGTAGCAGCTGGGGCGGCGACGAGGATTACTATCGCGCGGCTACCGGCTACGACTATAAACCGTATGGGTATAGGTGATATTGATATGCTGACCGTGTTTGACCATTGATACTTATCGTTCTGGCGCGCTTTTGTATGAAAAGAGATATCCGTTTATGAGTTATGACTTATGATAGCGTTCATTATTATTCTTGGCTTCTGTCTTATATTTAGCCACTCTGACTTTTTCCTTTTTGAAAGTGTACCACGAAATTCCCTCAGTTAATGAACCTTGGCTCCTTGTCCTTCCTTCCTCTTCTGCTATACAATGTATAATATCACTAATACCACACCTTTCGGGATCGCACACACATCATCCACCCCCATCCACCCTCTTCACCTTCCCCCCCTCAATAACCCTCATGACCCTCCGCCCCTCAACCCTACAAACCTCCGCCTCCCTTTCCCTCCCCCTTTCCTCCCTCTCCCACATCTTCCAAATCCTCCTCCGATCCCTCTCCTCCCTCTCCTCCCTCCTCCTCTTCCTCCGTCTCCCCCTCTCCTCCTCCTCATCCACACCAACACCCACACCTCCATCCTCCCCTCCCACTTCCACCTCCCCCCTCAACCTCTCCACCTCCTCCCTTCCCAACCGCCACGGCACATCCAACACCTCCACCAAACACCGCGACCGCTGATCCACGAACCGCATCTCAGCGTTCGTGTCCCGCACAGGGAATACCCGCTCGAGCTGCAGCTGGTTCACGCCACGGAAGGTGGTCACCGTGCCTTTCACGTGCGCGAGCGTCCCCGGTGGATAGGGTGTTATGTCCAGCGGAAGGGCGGTTGTAGGGGATATGTGTGTATTATACATTCCAGATTGTGGTGTAGATGTGGAAATTGTAAGTGTAGGGATGGCTTTCTGAACCACCACATCGAGCGTCGCACCGCTGCTATCGTCAATCGTTAGGATCGTGAGCGTTGGTAGATCCGTTCGAGAGGTTATTATCCCCAGAAGGGAGATGTATTGGATAGGATGGTTTTTGTAAAAGTAGGTTTTGGGGTCTGCTTTTCGATGAGTGAGTGGGTTAGATGGATGGATGTATATATATGTGTGTTTGTATTGGGGTGGAGATGAAGATAGAGTGTAGTATAATACGGTATTGTGCTATATGCACCAAGGCATATAGATGGGTAAAGGGGATAGGGATAGAGGTACCTGGAAACTCCGGTCTTCTTTTCAATCGTAGTACATCCACCGCGGCCATCTTCACCCAGGTGAAGTGGGTTGGGGACGCCTTGAAACAATACGCTGGGTAGAAGTCAAGGCCGTCATGGTTTTGTGCTGTCGCCATGCCCATGGGAGGGGGGGCATTTTCATGGTTGGGGTTGGGGTTGGGTTTGGGTCATTGGATTTTTGTGTGGGGGAGATAATAGAGATATTGGGAGGAGTGTGGTGTTTGTTGATTTGAGTTGAAGATTGGGGGTGGTGAGGGGAAACGGGCAGTAGCTTTGTTATCGGTCACGTGAGGAATGGGGGGTCATGTGGTGATAAGGTACCTACCCTTGCGATGTATTTATTCTCTTAAACCTATTCTATTTAGCTCAACCATCCAAGTTGTAAGGGTTTATCTTCCTTACACCTGAAGCAGCGGCTGTATTGGGATACTCGATTTATTTGTGCTTGACTGATAACCCGTGATATATTTAGTTTGGCTTATTTGGCAACAAAATGATGTCTTGACAGCAGATTTATAAATGGTCTAGTACTCGGTAGATAGGATCTGAAGTAGATACTATTGTGTACGGAGTAGTAGCGCTGCTTCAAGGAACTTCATTGTGTATATACAACCTGGAGCCAATCGTTTTTGAGAATAATAGTAATTCATGAACAGCTTTCACTGTCCTTCTCCTCTTCTTTCAACTAAGTATCTACTATTCTCTTTGACTGTATACAATCAGGAATATACTAGTAATACCAGGGCCGTGGGATAGGTTGAAGCAAATTGTGGGCCAGTCTTATCAAGCCTCACAGAATTCTTGGTCTTTGCAACTGACAGGAATAACCTTTTGAAACAAAAATAACCCTTCCCTCACTCAAAACACGATCCTCACATTTGAACCTCTCTAACCACAATGGAAAACCTACAGAGGAGTCACAATTGGTTACCTTCAGGTCGTTAGACAGATAGGGCCACACAATTTCTCCTTTTTGTGATTAAAAATATGTAACTCTGTGAAGTCGTTCAAGAAGACTGCGTGGAAAAGCCGGCACTCATCATGAACTATGAAGTTGTCAGCAAGATCAATGAAAATGCAGATAATACTAGCGAACAAACCTGAAGTCGGTACGCTGGTAGCGCAATTGATAACGATCCAATCATCGACATCTCTCTTCTCCAGCCATTGAAAGTACTGCCCGCCCTTTCGAAATCTCCTGATATGGTCATCGACTCGATCATATTCTCTCAATAGCTCTACTGCCCACTTCTTCTCAGGTATGAAAAAGTCGACTCTTCCAGAATTCGTTCTGGCCCACGCAGTAGATATTGGAACCCCTCGCCCCGCCAGCTTACAAAACGACCTATAGAAATCATCTTGATACTGTGCTTCAACGGGTCTCGGTTGTGCTGCAGTTGACAGGATCTTGCTGGTAGTGGACTGTTTCAAGTTCGTCCTCGAAAACTCAGGTAGGATCTCCATACACAGCTGAGTCAAGTTTGTGAAGCGCGCCGGTAAGGGTCTTTTGTCTCGAGCAATGAGGTACTGAATCCACCTAAGGTTCTATTAGTATGAGCAACATTAGTAGTGTACAAAGATACTTACTTCTCATGCAGCCGGGATGGCAGAACAGCAATTTCATCTTCTTCCAGGTTCGCTGTGAGACCCGCAAGTACCCTGTGGATCCAGCCTCTCACGTAGCAGACCTCCAACCCTGGTCTCTGCTCTCAATCAATGTGTCCTTTCTCCGTAATCTCGCAAAATATTTCATAGACTGGACTTTTGAGGTCTTTTGGTCGTGGGAAAGAGCGAGCGACACCGCATTTCGCCAGGAATTCGAAAGCAGAGTCCTCATTACCGTCAAGGATGTTGAGAACATGCTGCTGAGATATCACAAACGTCCTGTCATGTTTCATGTCGGCGCGATAGGTCTACTGCAATATTAGCGGTGGCGTTCAGTCTAAAACGAATATAGTCACCATTAGGAAGCAAAATTTGGAGCATACCTCACAGATAAAACGTATCATCGCCGTTACGCCTCCGGGATGCCCGTTCGTAAGCGAGAAAACATATCTCTTAGCTTCCTCATCAATGGTAACAACCAGATTGGAGAATTCGTATCGAACTATACGGCAAAGGACGTCATTGAACTCTGATTCAGTATAAAAGAGGCCAATCTTCGGTGATTCACTACACAACTGGGGTGTGAGCGTTATGCGTTGTGTTTCGGGAATAGTGACTGGAGTGAAAACTTTGGAACCCTGAGACGGCTCCAGACCCGTCGATGGACTTCCATAGCAGCAGAAGAGACAAAGTCGGAGTTTATATCTGTCAGGCTTGTCTATCAATGACTTGATTATAAAGTTCCACAGGTAATCATCATCGTATGACATTTGCGCTTCGTCCACAATCATAACAACCTCGTTGCTCATGAGGTCTGGCATATGAACGGGTAGAAGTCGTTGCTTGAGCGCCATAGCAAGTGCCATCCAAGGCTCTGAGTCAAGTTCATCAAGATTCCGCTTCCAAGTGTGGACGAATGGGACGATGCGTCCCTGATCTTGCAAACTATCGCGAAGTAACCGCGCCAGCGTTGTTTTCCCACTGGCTGGGGTTCCTCTGACGTGGACGACGGGGTAGGCATCGATGAGCTTGATTAATTCAGCTACTGTGTGTTGCCTTGGGGAAACAGTTACATCGTCCGCTATCACCGATGAACATCGTCAGCTATGGCATGTGAAGGTAGGGATAGGATTCGAACTTATTCGGCAGAGTCCGGTGTCCTTTACGTCTTCATCAATGTTCACTGCTGGTTTTGATAAGCTACAGCTTGAAAACTGTGGGAAGATGGGCGGACCTTGTGGCTGGATACCGTAGATAGATGAAGGCTTGAATGGAACAGCATCTTGATGCAATTGAAGTTTGTGATCACATAGCTTACACTCCTCGTTGGGGTCGACCATCGAACCCAAGTGGAATTCCCCTTTCTCGCACGGGCAATGAAATTTTAGCTGGCCGGTTGTAAAAATGAAGGTGCACTTGCCTGAAGCCATGATGCGAACTTGTGGGACGTTAGAAGATCTGGGACAAGCTGCAGCGCAAGTAATAGCGGATGGCACGTTTGCCAACGGCAAATTCAACGAGTTGGCGGCCATTTTGGAGATCAGTGAAGAAGCCATAGAGAGAGAAATCAGTGAAAATAACGTTGTCTCCTTGATCCGGAACGTAGGATTCGCTTGAATTTAAACCTTCTGAGTCGCAAGATGCAATTATCACGTCAGGCTTGGTTTGCGGTTACGCCGTTCACATACAACAGTGAATGTTTAAGTCTGGCAGCACAAAAGATTGAAAAGGGAAAGACCAAGGGGGACTGAAGTCTGGGTGGAAGCAGGTGAGTATATTGACATTGACCAAAGTGAAAGCATAATACAGATAATGGCACGTAATGGTTCTGAAATGAACGCTGACAGAATTGAGATAAGCCGTGCCACCTTATTCATTACCAGTTCTCATTCATCAAGAACCTTGAGTAGAATCCTGCTGACTTGATTCACCACAATGATACTACTGAGCATCAGAAATTTTCCATTATTACCAAGCACTATGAAGCCATGCAATGCCTATGCAAGAAAGCTTCAGAGTGTAATGGCTGGTTCTACAGGATTTTCTTACATGCGGGTGGAACCTCCACTGAGTAGACTAGAACGACCTCTGGAAGACTCGATATTTTCAGAATCTCATAAGTATAAAGTGGACTGTCAATTTTATTGAGACTATGACGGATATAGATGGAACCATATCAAGAGATTTCGAACAGAAGGACAGTACTTTGAACGGCTGGAGAAGAGATCCATTGATGTTTGAATTGATACCAAATGCGGCACCAGCGTACTGGTAGACAGAGAAAGGAACTCATATGAGGAGATGAGCGTCTATCATATGAACCCCAGTGGGTTGAGTCCTACGGGGTCGGTCATAGAAGCGCAAGCCTCAGGAGAATATGATGACATTCAGATAGGCGGCGCCCAACTTCATTGCTCACGGCCCTAGGAACTCTATATTGCAGTGTTATTCAGAAATGAGGAACTGATGCTCCATGAGATAACATCCGCGCATCATCAACGGCATCTTCTCTGATACCTGCAAGGAGCCGAGAACACACCCGCACTACATTTATTGAATAAGAAGACATAGTACTATTTCCTACGCCAACATATATACTATCTTACACAATCAATCCAAAATTGATTCACGCCTCAAAACATCCATAAACATACATATACACACATATAGTAAATCATCCATCAAAATCACTCCTCCTTCCTCCTCTCACCCCCAATGACCCAATTATTCAAAATCCCCACCCCAGCATTCAAATACGTCGCCACCCCCAACCAAGCCGCATACGGCGTCATCAACCAAAAAGCCACCCGGTCATGCTTCCACCAGATGTGCATCAACGCCGCCACATTCCCACTGAGAAGCAGCAGATCTGCCAACGCCCACGCCGGCTTCCGGAACATGAAGAACAGCGGCATCCAGAGATGATTCAACGCCAGTTGGGAAATGTATAGCGTCTGGGACTTGACGGTCCAGTCTTGGACTATTGATGATGATGATAATGAGGGGGGGTATGCGCCGGCTATGGTTCCTGATACTGTTGCGTGGTGGATGGCGAAGCCCATCATTCCGTAGAGGACGGTCCATACGACGGGGAAGGCCCAGGTTGGTGGGTAGAGAGGGGGCTTTTTGAGCGAGTGGTAGGTTTGTTTGGTGCGGCCTTTTCCTGGTTTGTCTCAGTAATTGTGTCCATCTAAAGGAGAGAGGTATGGGAGTGGGGGAAGCTCACGGTTGGTCTGGTACCCGACTAGAGAACCTGTCGCGATGGGCGTCACGATGGAGACTAGGGGGTGGGCGAACATCGCCTGAGGGAGTGCGGCGGACCAGGGCATGGTTGGTTAATTCTTCAGCTTTGGCTTGGATTGTAGAATGTTGAGGATCTGGAGACCGAGTGTGGAGTTGCGATGTATTTATTTGTTCGTCTGGATCGATCGATCGCGGAAGCTGGAAGTGGTCGACGTCATCCGCATCCGACCAAGGAATGTCAGTAGGATCGCGTGGTATAGATAGCCGACTGTCTTCAGTGGGGGTGGATTTATATTGGGGATAGGGACTGCTCCACTGGAAACAGTATTAACTAGGCGATAAGTTGAAGGTTGATCATGCAAGTATCTTGTTGATTTCAGTGCTTGTTAAATCACTCGGTTTTCCCCGCATTCGGTGAACCACGGCGTGTGGAGAAGCTTATCACATGCAGGAGATGATATAGGGCATGTCTACATTTGATTTTGATTGAAAGATGAATGAAGATCTGTGGAGCACTGCTTATGTTAGAAATATGGAGTAGTCTATATCTATTATCTCTTCAGGCAGGAGTTGGACAAGCGTAGTGAGCCTTGCATGTTAATTCCGCAGCGCTTGGCTCTGAAGCGATCGGTAGAGCAGATAAAATACGCGTCATCTATTTAATTAGCCCTTAAGGCTATGTAAGTGCTTTCCCGGAAGCCTCGCTGATGTTTGTTAGACCACTAAATGCAGTAGATGCATCGTGACCATGTTGCACAGTGTTCATCAAATGACACAGTAAAGCTCCAAGGACCCAATGTAGAGCCCCATGTACCTGCACTATCTGGAAAGCTGTGCAATCTCATTCTACCATGGAGACGAGGACTAACAGTGACACCATACCTTGATCCTCAATACTGTTTCTTCATTGCAGTATTTTAGTTGAGATCATTCCAAGCACCTGTTAGGGATGTGCAGCTAAATAGGGCTTGCGTCAGATGAATGCAGTAGAATATAACGAACTAACAGACATTGCTATGACAAAGCACATGACTAGACCTGTCCAAACAGATAATACATGAGAATGAACAAAGGCTAATATACAATGCTTGACGATGTCGATGTAATGCCTCTAACTATAAAGGCTTTCCTGCCACGCTCTCACCAAATCCCCAACCACTTCTTGACAGGCCGCTTGTTGCCCTCCCAATCAACATACACATTCTTATCATCCTCACCCTGCTGCTCCTTAGCCACAGGAGATTGGTCATCCACAGCCACCTCCCCCTTTCCATCAGCACCAGCAGCATCCTTCTCATTAGGCTCCTCCAACCCATGAGCAACCCGATACTGCCGTCTCTTCTCAGCATCGTCCACCCGTCTGCGACGCTTCTCTCTCGTCTCGATCGAGTTGTGCTGCACGTGCATGCGGAACACTGAGATGGCCTGCCGAACCGTATCAATGGGGTGCGACAGCAGCGCCGACCACGGCGGTAGCAAATGAGCAAATGGCGACGAGTGCTTGAAGTTCGTAGTAAATGTGAAAGTAGCCAGGGAGGTCAGTACACCCTACACAAATCACATAGAACGTTAGTAAACCCATACCACTCGTATATCATTATGCATCGAACGAATAAACAAGGAGGGATGTCTCACCATCGCAATCCAAATGTGAATCCACCGGTTCGTCAAGAACTTGTGCATGACAGTCCCCTCAGGCGGAAACATGTTCGGGTACTGCCTGTGCTTCTGCTCTTCCTTTTCCTTCTCGCTGAGCTTCGGTCCCGGGTAGTTGATCGGGCCGCTGTTGACAACCTTCCCATTGCGGGTTTGGACGACCCGGCGCGCGGGGTGAGATGGAGGACGGAACTTGTCGGGCTTGGACAGCACGCGGGGTTTGCTGTCATCGGAGGCGCATCGCTGGGTGGTGCTGCTGGTGATGCGGTAGGTGGTTCGCCGGCTCAAGGCGCGGAGGCTGAGCGGGGAGGGAGCGCCCCGGGGGAGGAGAAATTGGGGGATTGTGACGGGCGGCATTGTGTATAGAGCAAGGTAGGTGGAGGCTGACTGGTGAGGTGCACCGCAGATGAGAGCTGGAGTTGGCTGCTGGGAAATGCCTGGCCTGTTGGTGTTGCGGCGCGGGTATTTTTTTCCTGGTGCTGCGGAGGATATACAGATCACGTGATAAAGGCTTTGTTGAGTCTACGCTGTGCTACTGCTGGAGATTGAATAAGGATTACTGTGAAAGATGCCAATCACATATGTTATGTATTTGACAAATGTATGGCTACAGCGCTAATGAATTCTTTCTATGTGCATGTGCATGTGCTTGCAATGAACCGAGTATATGCGGTTCCTGGTGCCTGTTGAGGCTGTTTGCTCTGCCTCAGGCCACCTCGGCATTGTCCCCGGCGGAGCGGAACAACACGAATTCCATGACAAGTCGGCCAAACTCGGAGGACAAATGATGGCGCGCGAATTTCCAACACCAGGGCTTTGCGGGACCAGAAACAGTTCAATTGCGGTGGCCCAACTCCGTATCTTCTCCGGGTCTTCTCCGTAGCTACCGCCCTATATTTGTGTGTGTTACGTAGGGAACTGGGCCACCATGACGGAGGCACAAATATGGCAAAGTATGAACAGAGGATGAGATCATTCGGAAGCGCTACGTCAGTCGCCGGCAGAAAAGCCGCTATATGCTCGGAAGGGATTCAGCGAGTATCATCTCCTATTGTAGAGTAGTGTAGGGACTCCAAAAAAAAGCATAGAGTCTCAAGCCTGGCATGCACAGGGGTCAATTGACCAGAACTCGGTCAGATCGATCTGGGTAAACGGAGACAATTCTTGGAAAACATGGAGCATGGCTCAAAAAAGACACCGGCATCTTGTCCCGGAAGCGCCCGTTGTGCTGAATCATCTCATCCCTGATTGGCCGCAACCCGGATCACGGGAGGCGTTGGGGGCAAAGGCTGGCCGCTCTTGTACAAATTGATCGCAAGTTTTTCTTCCCTCGTCCGATTTCTCTCCTCCATCGCTTCTATTTTCCCCAGGATATCCTCCGCAAGACCAATTCCTTTGTATATTACTCTTACACCTTTTAATACCCTTTAAATCCCTTCACACACATTCAAAATGGGCAAGGACGCTTCTTTCGCTCCCGGTAAGCTGATGCAGTTTTCCTTGTTTTGGCCGCTCCTTGTCTTCGGAGGCTCTTCATTCACTGGTGCTTTCAAACACTGCATTCACCCAATGCCGTGATGGTTTCCCGCTTTATGATGGCTGTTGCTGGCGCTCGAAACTTCTGCCTGCTGTAACTCGATTCATCGCGTTTGCTGTCGCGTTTGCTCTACCTTTTCGCAAACCGCACGCTTTTACTCTTTAAACAACGCTGCGTCGGAAGACAAAAGTCGATATCACAATCACAGCTTAAGTCGAGCGTCACACCTGTCATCATGAGCTGGGATGCCTGTGTTCTACCTTGCTGGATCCAACGTCGCGAGGAAATGGCAGAAAGGGAGAAGAGAGAGGCCGAGGCGGCAGAGAAAGCCAAACAACAACTTGCTAACGTCGACTTCGATTCAGGTGACTCCGCCAAGGGTGCCAAGCTCTTCCAGGTGAGTTGTGATCGCTCTGCGTCGCAAGACGACATTTGCTCGGACAGGACAGTATACTAACATCGCATCCAGACTCGTTGCGCTCAGTGCCACACTGTCGAGGCTGGTGGTCCCCACAAGGTCGGCCCCAACTTGCACGGTCTCTTCGGCCGTAAGACCGGTCAGTCCGAGGGCTACGCCTACACCGACGCCAACAAGCAGGCTGGTGTCACCTGGGACGAGAACACTCTGGTATGCTTCGCTCACCACATCGCACATTGTATAGAAGAATTGTGCCTAATGCTGTCTGCAGTTCTCCTACCTCGAGAACCCCAAGAAGTTCATCCCCGGTACCAAGATGGCCTTCGGTGGTCTCAAGAAGGGCAAGGAGAGGAACGACCTCATCACGTATGTGCTATCCCGAACGATCCGAAACGGCGAATTGCAGAGCGCTGACAATTGTACCTTTACAGTTACCTCAAGGAGAGCACCGCTTAAATCACCTCATCGTCATGAACCTTTCTAGAACCCGCCTGTCGAACATTGCCCGCTTATCCGCGCTGGAAACAGGCGGTGAGTCGGCAACCCGACAGTCAGGGACTGTAACATTACCACGCCCTTGTTTACCCGCGATAGACCTTTGGCGTTGCTGCGTTGGAACGATACAGATACAATAGAGTCCTGTTTCCTTCCGCGAGCGCTGTCTACATATTCCCTTCTTGTTCTCTTTTTTTACCCTCCGTCTCCTATGTGTCCTCTACGAATGTGATTCCTTCCAGCTATTGTGTGTATCATGGTTATAAAAACAATTTGGTTGCTTGAGACCATAATGAATTGAAGAGATCTCCTCTCACATGACAACAAAACAAAACAATATGCTTTTACACAGTATCAGTATTGCTTAGGTCGATTGCTTAGAACAACCTAACCAGGCCGCTTCCCTTTTCTGCCTGACGGACCGATGGCCGTGCGCTGGACCCCGTCCCGAGTTTCAGATGTATCACGTGCAGCCCATGCTAGCCGGGGATTCGTCCTGCGCGACTCCGCGACCACGTATGTGCTGCAGAGAGGAGGGGACGGAGAAGGGGACCTCCGGGGGGTTGGAAGTGAGTAACTCTACTACTAGTATCTACCTACGAGTCAGCGAGGAAAACAACGGTGGCCAACTGCACCGGCAATCTGGCGGATGATCCTTGCAGGGCCGTGGAGGGCAGCTCAGGATGGTCATTGGGCCCGGCCGTTGGGCCAGTTGTCAGCCAGCCATTGATAGGTAGGTTCATGGTCCCGAGAAGGTACCGTTCCTCTAGTAAAATGGCCTTAGAGCCAACCAGGTAGCTGCTCGATCGGAGGGTAAATACTACCGTCCTGAAGGAGGGGTGCAGAGAGGAGGGGGAAGAAGAGAAGTAACCAGTTCTCCCATGGGGGAACTTGAACTTGAACTAAAGTGAACTTCTATCGGGCTTGATTGCGAACTACGGAAGCGACCGGTGTGGTGATAGGTAGGTTCGAGGAACCTTTTCGTTGGGTGGTCATGTGGTCATGACTTAGGATGGATGGATGGATGCGAGTCACGCCGATATGGTGGTTGTCGAATGGTAGGTTATCTTGGTGGGCTTATAGTTTATCTAGCGGGGTGGGAAGAGAAATGCAGATAACTATCGATAAAAAGGTGCAGGAAACTGCAGTATGTCTATTTGTTGAGACTACGTGAGAGTCTTGAGAAAATTGTTCCGGATAAGAGATGAGATGTCTCAATAACTCTGTGGAGTAGGTAGATAGTAGCCGGGTTAAGTCGATCTGGTGGGATGCGATGCGATGTGATGCAATTCAACGCGAAGTACTTTGTACGTAGGCAGTCACCCAGGTGGCTTGGTTGCTTGGTTATCGTCAGGAGGGAAAGGGATCGGTCTGTCGGTCAGGTCCTAGTCTGTCTGATGAAACGCAGTCATTGTGGAGTTCAGTTTGAACCCTGCGAAATCGGAAAAAGTACAAGGTAGAATGTAGTCTAGTTCGGTCAGTAGTAGAGTAAGTAGTAGTTATGCGCGAGTGAGCCTAAGCATCAGCATCGGTGTTTCTGGAGGGGAGCCGATGGGCCCGATAAAGATAGATGGATACCACCAGGAGGCTTTCTTCTTTCTTTTTCTTCCCTCCACCAGATGGAATGTTCCTAATTTTCCACAGGAACGAGATCCATGAACCAAGGCACGTTCCCTATTTTTACGAGGACAATTCTTTTGAAGAATTATAGGAATGTTGCGACGGGAGGTTAAAGAGTAAAAAAGGACATTGTCGACTGGGAGCGACCGGGACAGAGGAAAGTCTAGACAGAGAGGACAGACAGACTGGAGGCTACGATGGGCCTGTAGGGATGAGCATCCCATGATCCCACCTGACCCGTGGCGCAGCGATGCTGATTGGACCAGCCACCTAGCGGGGCCCCTCCATGGGTCGCTCTTTCCTTTTGATTGAAATAAAAACCCCAGCCGTGGAAGGCATGCGAGGGGCGGGCCGGTATTATCCTGTACCTTCTTGTACTTCCTGTACCTGAAGACTCCCATCTATTACCATCTATCTCCCATCAAATACATCAATCCATTCCTATATAAACTACCACCCGTATTATCATTATTGTCTCATCCCTACTATCTAAACTAACGGCGCAAAACAGCTGCTCCAATAAATCTCCTTCCCCCCTTCGAGGTGACCCCTCGTGCGGGTGTCCTCTGCAAGCGCCTCTTGTAACCCGTCGTGACTTGTCGCATTCCCGTTAGTCCGCTGGTCATTTCATGACATACAGACAGACCAGGCAGACAGACAGCCAGCCAGACAGACAGACAGAAGAGTGCAAGCAAGAAAGAAAACTGGTTTAACCAAACAGATCATCTAACTCTCATCTGCATTCTGACTGATTCGACGGACTGGACCATCTTTCATCTTGCTCTATCTACCTCCCCACTTCTCCCCCAGTTCTGTTTCGTCGGGCCGGCCTGATCGCTCGCCGTTGCTGGCCATTCCTCAGGCACTCAGGCTTTCCCCCCCCCGGGTTCTCGTCCCGCGTATCTTCTACTACTACATTGCTACCCTCCCACCATCATTCAACCTTCCCATGTCTTGCTCTCCCTCCTCCCTGCTCTCTCTTGGATTCACTCGCAGGGACATCTATAACCATATACGCTGTAATCTTGACCCCTTTTTCTACCCTTCACCCCTGTCATCATCTATTCCTTCCCCTTCTCTCCCTTGGCGCATAGCTTCTATTCTCCCTTCCTTAACCGGATCTTAGCGCGCCCGCAACTAACCCTCGTTCTTCTATCACCTTGATAGCACCCACCCTCTGAAGTTATTGTCTATTGCTGCGCAAGTCGTTCACGACGTCGCAGCGATCGAAAGTGGCCTTGACTTCTTTGGTGTTGCAGTGCGCAACGCCGTCTATCATGCTAGACGAGCTGGAACGCACCTTCGACGAACATCCTTCATTGGATGCGTCGCTCGAGGACTTCGAGAGCAATAGTAACGCTCGTCAATCCCCCGTTTTCGGTCTGCCTTCCCAGCATTCGGGCTTCCGCTCTGAGGAATCGGATGGGGAGGATGACGACCTCACGCCTAACGGAGATCGCTGGTCGCCTCCGGGCTTACGCAGGTATGACTATGTACAAGGAAGTGGTTGGTATCGCCATCAGCCCTACGTGCGCAATCCCGATTACGACCGTTTCTGCCTCAAGCCCTCAGTCGGACTGAGCCCGTCGCAATCGCGCGAGCCTAGTCCGCAGTATGAGGATGCGCTGGAGGCGCCGACCGCAGGGAAACGCAGCCAGTCCGCAGAGACAGCTGACATCACCATAGCCGCCAATGTCCCCTTGCCAGCCGACGCAGAGACCCCAGAAAAAGGTCGCTCGCCGAGCCCGGGACCCAAAGGTGCAAGAGCTAGCCCGGATGGCGAGGGTTTGGACTTTGGGTCGGGGAATAACCTCAGCAATTGTAGGCTTCACCTTGGTTTGCTACCCTTTGCAGCTTCCTGGCCGGAATGAACTAATTCATGACGCCTCAAAGATATCCGGTTTGCTGTGCGCGCGGAAGTTCAGCACCGTGAGCCCTTTGTCGCATTCTTTAGTTACTTGCGGTCCAAACTCGATAAGATCACTAGCTCCAAATCCAACGCAATTCTTTCTGTAATCGTTGCTTTCATATCGATCGCGTTCATGCGCGCCTTATTCCTACCCAGCGTTCCCGAAGCGATACCCGATCTGGTCAAGCTGTCAGGGTTTGCGCGCTCGTTCGAGCCCCTCATCTATTATTCGGAGAATGGCGCGCATCAGATAACCGCCTTGCAGGAGACGGGGGTGGCTGTCTGGGACCTCGGAGAATCGGTGCGCGGGACCAATATGACCAGCGCGCCGATCATTGTCCGCCAACTGGATGAACTCTCCGAGTCGCTCAAGTCGCTCTCTCTGGAGCTGGCACGCTTCTTCTCCGACGTTGAGGGGGACATTGACTCCATCTTGCTCGCCATGGATTGGGCCAAGCGTGAACTAGAGGCCTTATCGTCGCAACCGCCTAGTACGTTTCCGTCGGTCGTCTTCGATAACCTCCACGGGATCTTTGCGCGACTGGGGGCGCTGGAGCGACTTAGCGCCGCGAGTGGGGAAGGGTCCAGCACTGAACTGACCAGCACCCCAACCACCTTTGGCAACTTCGTCACCGCGGTCTTCGGCCAAACCTCTGCCCAGCGTACCCGCACAACCCTCACTCGGACCTTTACCGAAATGCTCTCCGTACTAGAAGAGGCGATCAACAACGAGCTGACGCACTCAACGGCGCTGTTCGCGCTCTTTGAAGCGATCGACCGCCAATTTCTGAATCTTCAACGGACTGTAGTCCGCGAGTCGGATGTACAAGAACGCGAAGAGGGCGAGATGCTGGAGTCGCTGTGGACTAGGATTATGGGAGCCAATGCTGCTGCGATTCGCAAATACGAAAAGAACAAGCGGCTGCTCGCCAATGTCCGTAGTCGCACTGTCACTAACAAGCACCTATTGGTGGACCACCGCGGCCGTCTACTTACCCTCAAGGTCAATCTGGAAACCCTGCGGCGCAAACTTGTCAGTCCGCTAGTTCGACGCAACGACTCGATGAGCTTCACGGGCATCGAGTCCAGTAGTCGTAGCAACGGTCGCATGCTGGGGCATGTTGAGGCTGTGATTGACGGACAAATCCGAGGACTCGAAGGCAGCTATGATTACCTCAAATCTGTGCGAGACAAACAGAAAGCCAAGACTCTGGAGTTTTACTACGGGTTCGGGCGGCGCTTGCCGCAGAACCCAGTATTAGCCGACGGGTCGGACGATCTGGGGACGGACGCGATTGACGGGGTGTGATGCAACAGAGTCGAGAGATCTTGCATGCATAGGCAGGCGTTCCTTGTCTTTCTGCTCCTTCTTTTGTCTCTGTACCTGCATCACGTGGACATGGCGTTGTCGATCTGATCCATTCGGAAACATTTGGTCTTGTGTGCTGTGCACATGGTGGGCGTTCATCTACAGGTCCCCTTTCTTCGGTTACTTACATCTCGCTTCTCTCCTCGCATCGCTCTGGCTAGCTGGCGTACACTGGCGTCCATTGCGCTACAGATTTTCATTGGTTCTGGCCAGCCCTATCTTCTGTCTTCTCTCGCCTCACCTCATCTCCAACTTCATCTCCCTCTACCTCCGTGACACGACTTCTAGGGCTTTTTCATGTTGTTTGGCATCATGTCCAAAAGCGGGAAAGGAAAATCATAGACAAGATTTGATTTGATTCATTGCAATCTACCTGCTGCAGCATTGCATCTCGTGACATGTCTTGTCTTTCTTCCCCTCCATTTGCTGCCATCCATACACTCATTCCTTGCTTCTCATCTCTTCTCTCGTCCCCCGAAGTTAATAGGCTGGCCGGCCGGCTGGTGTGGTTGCCTGCTTACTTGCTTCATCATCTACTGTGGCGCACGTGGTCTTCGGTTTTCTCCTGTCAATAGTTGGTGGACGGAGTGTGCTCGGTTACGGGTACATGGTTGGTTGGTTTGGTTGGTTATGGTATCTTTGATCGGTAGTACATGGTGTTGTAGTGTGGTTGGTCGTTATCTATCATCTATCATATCTACCTGTCTTTTTCTTTGAATCTACTTTACTCCGTCTTTTCCCTACCTACTACTTTTTGTGTATCGATGGGATCTTACCATTGTATCATCATAGTATATATTCGAGCTTACCACTGGCTGTTCCTCATTATTACTAGCATATAGATTCATGCAGCTTCGTCTGTAGGTATCAATGTGATTTTAGTAAGTAGTGATAATCTTGCTAGAATTGAGGTAACCATGATAACGGAGGGAAAGGAATTCTAATATCACAGGAGTAGCCAAGATTTTGACTAGACAGGCATGAGGCAAAGCGCAGCATAGCATAGCGGTAGCGTAGCACAGAATAGTTGGATACTGAATGCAGTGCAGCAGGTAGTTTGAAACCCAGATATAAAGAAAAAAGAAGCAAAGATGGGATAGTAAGAAATAAGTATGTGTTAATATAATATGTGAATTGAATCAAGCAAAGCAAAGCAAGCAAGTAAGTAGGTAGGTAATTCCTCGCGCCCGGCCGCAAATCAAGTAGAAATGAAACTCCCCCGAACTCCATCCGGATGCTAACTGATAGATCGATCGAAGTATGGTCTTGGTAGCAAGTAGTTATGGTAAGTAGGGTTTTTTGGTTTCTTGGGTGACTTCATGCGAGTCTGCGTGATGGGTTGTGGGTGCCACTGTCTGTCTTTGTCATGGTCATGGTCATGAGGAGCGCTGGTAAGGTGAGCTTGAGCATGAGCCTGAGTCAGAGCATGTGACGTGACTCGGTTTGTTTCTTCGTATTTCCCCAATTCTTTCATGGTGAGTTCAGAAATGAAAGAAAGGGAGAAGCATCGCCCCTCTTCTTTCCTTGCCCGGTGAGAAGGTAAGATGCGACGACCGAGTCCACCTTAGAATCCATATCCACCCCCATACGGCGTAACTCCATACGGTGTTGTAGCACTAGGACCCCATGCGCTAGCGCCACCACCGTTCGCATACGCCGTGAAGCCACCGTCCATACCCTCCGGGGGCTCGTAGGCATCCGGACTGCGCACACCCATCATATCCTCGTCGTCGCCGCCCATGACGCCATTGCGGTCTGCGCCTTCGGTGCCTGATAATGAGGAGATCACGGAGGCGAGTTTCCGTTGCAACACTGTGATTCCTTGCTGGATGATCATGTCCGGCTCTAGGGTGCCGATGCTCTCTACGTCAATGTAGAAGCTGTTGGGCTGGGCGTCGTAGTCGAATGGTTGGTCTGGGGGAACGGGCTGTTCCCATCCTGCGTTGGCTGAGACGGGCCTGTATTGATGTCACTGTTAGCATTTGATCTTCGCTTACTCATGTAAAACACTATCCTCTGCAGTAGGTGATGCAGAAAGGTGCTGGAGAAAAAAGACTGAAGATGAAGGTTGGGATAAAACATACCATTCCTTCGCCGCATCCTCCTCATACCAGTAATCCACATGTCTCAAATTGTTATGCGGGTCATATTCAAACCCAATCGCCGATGTAGGCATCCACTTCGCATGTTCCTTCGCAATGCCCTTCTTCGCAATACACGTCATCTTCAACTCCTGGCCGCGTCTCAATTTACAAATCAAGGGTCCGTTTCCCTCAGGATCCAAGATCACCGGGTTTCCCACCCACTCGTTCGCCCGTTCGCCTGACACCACAAGGTCGCGCGCATACACCCGCATGATATCGTCGCCGGTGCACCGCGCATGCAGCGACAGGGTTACAGAGCAGCGCGCGCAGTGGTCCTCGCATTCGCAGTCGCGCGTGTACTCGACATCTTGGTCGCAATTTTTGCTGATCAGGGGAATAAGGCCTAGACGGTGGGCAAGAAATTCGTCGGGCAGTACGGAGGTGTTCTTTTCCACTTCAACGAGATCGATGGCCATCGTGGGGATTTCGGCGAGCATTACTCGGCGGAGGGAGTTGGCGAAGGCGAGGTCGACGGAGGTGAGTTTGAAGTCAACGCGGGTGGGTTCGGCCTGGCAATTTGATGAGTGTTAGTAGGGATGGTTGGACAAGTTGGATGGGGTGGTTGTGTGGTATGGGCTGGTGTTGGTATAGATGGTGGATAGGTGGATTGGTAAGAGGTGAACTCACTTCGCGGACGGTGACTTGGGGCCCGGTGGGCTCAATATCCATCTCGTAGTCCATGGTGGTTGTGGTTAGTAGCGCAGAGGCGCTACCTATCGAGTGGAGGGATGGTTGTGGTGGTGAAAGATGGAGCAGCGAGGAGAGGACTGATGCTGGAGGGAATGATGAATGGCGAAGGAGCTGAGGTCAAGTTCGTCGCCGACCTGCAGCCCGCGCTTTGCCTGTTTGGGTAATGCGTCTGCTGCGGCGTTTGCCGCAGATCAAAATTCTGAGGTCAGTTCAGATAACGATTAAAGAGCAACAAAATATTATTAAATTGGGTGTTAATTATATATGGGCTTAACTGTCTTCAGATCTACAGGTTACGATCTCTACAGGCTTACTTTTAAGTTACACACTGAGCAGACAGCCAGCCCCTATGGTCTTCTGTTGCCTCGCAAAATGAGGAGTATGCTTGCTTTCTTCCTTTGCAGGTCAGATTCCTAGTTTGCATGAGCAAAAGGCAGTTCATCCCCAGCACCAACGGAGGCACCTGTCGACAGCTCTCGAGCCAGATTAACTGGCGGGCCATAGTCAACCAGCAAGTCGTCGCAAGGGTATATCAAGTCGAAGAAGTATAAAGAAAAAGGAAAAAAAAAATGACCCCTTCCAAAAGCAGATGCCCGCTCCAACCGTAGGATGCGATCCCAAAGCATGTCATGCTGACCCCATCAACTTTTGCTCCATCCGTCGGCTGTACCGCCGCCAGACCGTACTCCTCTAACATTCTATGCTGACGCTCCGTCATGGATTCTATAGTGGTAAGTGCGCCTCACGCGCGAAAGCCGTTGGGCTGCCCAAATAGCCCGAAGAAGAGAATTAAAACCAAAAGCAGTATAGCCAACCAGAGGCAGAAACCCAGGCAAATGAATCGAAGCAAGAAGGTAAAATCGAGAGTAGCTTTTCTTTTCGGTTTCAAGAATCATGTCAAGTCGTCATGGAGCTCTAGCCCACAGGCAAGTCTCCATCATTTCAACTTCCCTGTCCTTTTTTGAGCGAGGGAAGAGAAATGATACGCCATCGCTACCTCCGCAGGGAGCTGCGATTCAGCGCTTCCAGAAGCTCGGGACGACTGGCAAGCGATTCGGCCGCTTGCGCATAGGTGACCCATTGACGCTTCCGCTTGTGCATCTCGGGCCACTGGTCCTCTTCCCGGTCCACTGTGACCTCGAAGAACTGGTATGATGCTTTCGGTGCCGAGGACGTTAATAACGTCGACGGGCGCATGTCTGGGATCAATCCCAGGTCTTTGTGCACCGTACATATTATTCCACCCTCTTCCCAGGCTTCTCTACAGGCAGCTTGTTGGGCGCTTACTTCATCGGTCTCCCAACCGCCTTTAGGAAGCACCCAACCGCCTCGCCCCGCGGACTGAATCATGAGCACCTTCGTCTTGTCTGCGGACAATGGAACCACACCGGCCACAAGTCGTTCACCTTTCGGTCCGTACCCTATACACAACGCGAGTTAGCCACGTTGCGCGACGAATATATTGCGTCATATTGAAAGTTGCTGTACGTGCAGAAACCGGCGAAAACGGTATTGTAGAATGAATTCAAAAGGCTACAAGCCCAGGGATGTTACTCACGTTGGTTTTTGCGTCCCACACGGGACTCCATTGAGCGAGGATGATCCGCCATTTTGAACATTGGAAATCAAGATAACGAGAAAATAAAAAATAAAAAATAAAAAATAAAAGAATAAGAAAACACAAGGGAAAAGTCTATAACGCGGTCTATATAGCAAGAATTCGAAAACCAGTGCGACACAGCCAAGCTGTGCTTCACGCGACACAGGTATGAAAGGAATGGAGAGATTCAAGGTGGAGGGAAAAGGTCAATGACACCGATTCCAAGACACGATCGGTGTGACGACACAGTCGGTGCTGAGGGAGGCGTGAAATGTCCAACGACGGAAAATTGAGACAAGAAGAAGGCCCGGCCTTGTGGATGAGGAGCTGGCCGGTGAACCGTGAGTTCCTGTCTTGTTCCCGAAGCGAAAATGGGCCAGGCGGTCGAAGTAGGCCAGAGAATTTTTTGGGGAGGGTAAAAAAAAAGATTTTAAGACTGGAGGGAAGTTTCAGGAACTAGGTATCCCCGTTCACTCCCGCGGCGGACGGGAACCTGGAAGGAGAGGTGTGAAGGTAAAAGAACATCATAATCGGAGGGATACCAGGAAAAATAAGGGAACGGATAGGGAGGAAGAGAGGGACGGAGGGAGGGGGGGGGAGGCGAGAGGACGGAGAGGGGGGGGGGAATCAGAGACAGCTTTGGGGATAGTAATGGGCGGCGCGATCCGGTCAGGAAGGTCGCTCGCTCTCTGTGTCTCTCTCGCCCGGAGCGGACTTTGCGCGCTCTCCTCTCTCTGTCTCCCTCTTACAATCCCTCTTCCATACTCTCTACTTTTCGCTGGACGGTACCGTCTGGGTACAACCCCAATACTGTATCGCCGGTCTCCCCGTCCGTCTGTCCGGGCAGCTTTCCTTTGCTTTTCCACTGCGTTCTGCCATCAACCCGACGCGGTGGGTTCCCGTAATACTGGTTCCATACGGGTTCTTTCGGTTCTTCTGCTAGGTACCAGTTACCTTACTGGTACAGGTACCGCCGCTACTCAACTTACTGACTTACTTTTGCCCCCCCAAGTCAGCCTATGCGACTTGCTCTTTTGAACGCTTACTATAATGTCATCATTCTAATCGCTGGGATCTTTTTTTCCCGGTGGTACTATTGTTCGGTTTCCAGGGGTCCTCTGCTTGCTCCATACCCTCTCACCTAAACTGATCCTTTTTCCATTACGATTGTCTACTCTCTATGGGTACTCTAAAGTAAAATTAGAAATCCCCAGTCATACGTAGCTTTGTGGAGTGTGTCCGAGGGCAATCCATGAACTAGACTACTTTGCACTATATGGGCCATCCCACCGGACATGCTGATACCTCCCAAGCGTAATTCTGGCGGTTCCTCTGGGTCGATTTGGCTCCTCTCTTCGGTGGTTCACGCGTCCGCAAGTCACAGACTAGGTCTGTTGCCCTCCCCATGAACTGCTCCTGAGTCTCCCGAAGGTCTGCGGACTCCTCGGAGGTTCCACAGCAAGCCGGCTGGACCAAGGGAGCAGGAGTCCTCTTTTCCACACCCACACACGCGCACACACAAAACGGGGATTAATTTTTTGCTTGGGACAGCAGCAGCCTAGAGGGTTACTGCAGCTTCCGTCGTCCCCTAACTCCCATCTCGGTCGAGTCGGTACTTACGGCTTTGCAAGTCCATCTCATCTCCCAGCAACCAAACGCTGTGCCCGCTCATCATTTACACTCAAGGCCCTATGGCACTATCAGAATTAGGGCCCCAGACTAGTGGAACAGACAGTTTCCCTTGGTCTCATATTACTGCTACTATTAGCATGGACCAAATGAGCAAAAATAATTTATCTTACTTCTTAGGTCATGTCTCCATCAGTCTAGTCTACTTTTTTATGTTTCTCCTTTCGAAGGAAGCAAACCGGGCCTTTGTGCTCTCCGCCGTAAGCGCTGGTGTGTTCGAAATGATGACGGAGATTCAGCGTAGATATTGTGGTTATGGTTATCGATAGAGGAACACTATAGTTAATCCATCGTCCTCTCACACCGGTCCCTGATGGCTTATTGCCAACCAACCCCTATTTCTCTCGGGGTTTAAAACACACCATTACTTAATATTTCCTTAGATAGCTATATTTAATATTATTCCTATTACTGCCCCTTTTTCTGATATAGCCTACATATTGATTTTGTCCGGATCAAAACGAACTCACGGTGAAGAACATGAGCAAAAACCGAAGACTACCCGGGATCGGTCCACCTCGTTTACCAACTCTGGATGCGGTACTCCGTGCGACGGGGAACCCTGTGCCTACTCCTTTCTGATTACTTATTTGCTGTGTAATACTAAATCTGTCTCCTCAATGTGGAACAGCCCGCGACTCGTTGGTTTCCCTCTCTCGGTTCCAATTATCCACCAGCCGATCTACGTATCTACTATTGCTGGATACTTAATTCGTCTGACTGGGTATATACCACATAGTTAAGAGTAAGTAGTGGTAGTAGTATCATGCAGAGTAGAATATCTGCATGTAGCGCATCGATGTCTGCAACCCTTTTCAACGAATGATATCAGAATCAACTACCACATGCGACCCGGCAGTACCTTGCTACGCGTTGAGCTATTTCCGATGGGACGATTTTTGGAGCTTCAAGCTGCATCGACAAGTGGTCATCGAATGATCCATCTACGCTATACGTTTCATCCAACTCTTGATGAATTTTACCTGTTTTTTTATGTTATCCTTTTCTTTTCTGCTTCTTCTTCTAGTGTTGTCCCCTTCCTTTAATTTTCCCCGTACTCTCTGCGCGCAAGCTACGGATTGGATACCATATCATGCGACGGCATGCCCTGCATACATTAGGCGCCTCGGATCCTGGCGGGCTCATTGGAGGAGAGCACACCGATGTCACCGACCTCACCCAGTGAAGAGAAAGAGGGAAATAGTGACTACTAACAGTCTAACACAATCGAGAAGGGAGGGGGAAAAGGTTGACTTTGGGAACGGGATGCGGGGCAGAAGCAACCACTCGGCCGGCCACACCAAATCCTCGAATGATCGTAAGGGTGACTTCTCTGAGTTTTCCTATTTGTTTCTACTATCTACATTCTGTGACCTCTTTGCCGAACAAGGGATGATGCGGATGCGACAGCCCAACAATGAAGGCAAAAGGCATCCAGACCGACCTGCGCGTTCGTGATGATGTATGCGGGCCAGGGCCTGCCTACCTACGTGGTACTTGCTTTACTCACACAGCGTACCTTGCCCACCGCCGAGGAACCATGGAGGGGGGAGGAAAGGTGTGTGGTCGATCAGAGCGTTGAAGTTGCTCGGACGATGCGGTGACTAACTGCAAAGGAATGGAACTACTGAGGTAAACCTGCACAGGAAAGACTAATAGTGGCTCGAGAAACTTCCCGGTGGCGATTGGATCTGGACGCGACAACGCAGCAGCGATCTGTCGAGGTGCGGATCCTTGAGATCCTAGCATCGACAAGCCGTGATGATGCCGATGATGCTTGGACGTTGGGGGGAGAGGGTTCCTGCACGTGATGTCATGGTCCGGGGGAGACTTTTTTTGGGGTGAGGGTTTTTGCCTCCTGGTCATCGCCGATGCTAGGAGAATTCTGATTTGGACGAATTCCAGGATCGACCAGCAGTACACTTACTTCCGTGTGCCACATTCCAGTAACTCTTAGCATCCACGACATGGCAAGATTTTGTTGCCAGAGGGTTGACACTTGGCTACTTTCCGCTTCCATCGAAGCAAGTTCAGGTACCGTCGGCTTTACATACCCTCCCCCGTCGTATTGTAATGGAGGCTGTCCATACAAGGCCAGACCGTATGGTATTGAACCCTTCTCCGCCTCAGGTTAAAAACCGAACCTGGCAGTTTTCTACTCTTTACTAGATGCTCTGCCAGGGGACTTCTCCAGTCTAGTATCTACCTAGTAGGTCACTGGTTGGAAATGGCAATGGCACCTACTATGAGAAGCTATGGCCAACTAACCCGTAGTGAAATTGTAGTTTCTGGAGCCGTGCTTGCTCCGCATCTCCTTCATCTCCGAGGCACCGAGCAATTAGGTGGCAAAGAGAACAAGATCCGTGTAGTTGTTACAAAGTACAAGGGACAAGCAATCAGGTTGAACCTGACTACGTACTTGACCAGGGGGGGCCAGCAGTTCTGACATGCGGCAGTGATCAGGCCAGCAGCCGCTCAGGTCTTTCTTCTAGAAGCATCATCACCTTCAACCTTGTTTCTACCTCCCGATAGCAGTGACGGGGACAGCTTCCTCCAGGACTAACTGGGGAGTCCTATGATCATGCAGCACCTACTGAAGCTGCCAGTGGGTATGATTTTTGATCTTTATCTTGTAAAGTCCGAGGTTCTTCCTGCTGTGTAGAATTCAGAGCGGAGCGTACTGGTATAAGTATACGTGAGATGGCCCCTGCCTGGAGGAGGGAGTGTTGTGACGGTGTTGCCTTGGGCTCTCCATCTAGTATCTTCTCGTCCCGCATCAACTTGAAAACCAAACAACATCAAGCCATCCATCTATCCAGCCCACTCCACTAAACTACCTCAACACTCTCTTCGTATCCCTTGATCTCCATTCTCCTGAGACGGACAATTTACTCCTGTTGCGCCCCTTGTCCTGTCTCGCTTTGCTTTTTCTTTTTCTGCCGTTCCCGCCGTGAGCGCAGCCAGCTAATCCCTTCTCCATCGCACTACTTGCCCGCAACGACACGCCATGGAGCCCATCGTCGATGCCGAACAGGCGAGGAAGTTGTCGCTTTTCCGACCTCTTGGTAAGCAGCCAGTCAGATTAGCCTTTCATTCCCCGTGCGGGCATCATTGGCCCCAGTGATCCTGCTCCGTCACCGATTCTTTGGATCGGAAATCCTGTGCCCCTCTTGTCTTGTCTTTGATAGTACACTCTTTTTGGCTGCCCCTCATTCCCGGCCAAATTCCCCTCTCTCTCAACTTTCCGGTCAAAAGCACCCCCGATACACACATAGTATCTATCCTCTTTGTCTTGGCCTCATCCATCTCACTAAAGCCCCATCCTATCTCTGCACTGGGACGGATATCCTCCGATCAACTAATGAGCGTCGTCCTGAAACTGCTCCATCGTTATCACTATGGCTGCGCCAACATGCCCTAACTCAACTCTCTTTAGGTTACCAGCGCAACTCCTGTGGTTACTGCAAATCTGATAATGGAAGTGAGTCTCTCCGGACCCACCCTCTTCTCTCCTCTGCCGTAGTAGTCCATCGCGGAAATGTCGTCGTGCTGCCGGATGGGACCGCTGATGCACGTCTACTGCAGGTGCCTCCTACTACGCTAGTTCGGTTTCTGTACGCCCGGCGCATTATGAAGCTCTGGTCAACAGGGGCTGGCGAAGGTACGGCGGTTCGCCTTCGTAATGCGAGCCACATCCCACCCCCGTCTGGCTAGCCAGTCGCTAATCCAGGTGCTAGGTCGGGGACACTGTACTACAAGCAGAACCTGCAACGATCATGCTGTCCTCATTATACGATGAGGTGTGTGATTGGTCCAATTTCTGTCCTTGACTAGCTTGCATTGACTTTTCGTCCAGGCTCGAAGCCTCCGCCTTCACGCCTAGGAAAGACCAACGGAAGGCGATCAATCGTTGGAACAAATTCGTTCTAGGCCCGGAGTATATCCGTAGAGCTGCATACCTCTGCCCCAAGACACGGGAGTAAGTAGACCGTCTAATGTGGGGGATGATGTGTGAGCTCACCAATGTTTAATCGTAGGGAGAAGAAGCGTCGCAAGTGCAACTTTGACCTTCTCGGTGCAGTTCACGAGGCCGAATACAGCAATGTGAAGCGGCCCATTGACCCCAAAACCAAGAGACCTTTGGAACCTGCTCATCGATTTGAGGTTAATCTGGAAGGCGACTCCATCTCTCAAGCCAAGTAGGTGTGCAGCTGCCTGTGTGTTCAACAATTTATACTGACATCGTGCGAGATACGAACTTTTCCTCAAGTACCAGACCAAAGTCCACAAAGAGGATGCTTCCAAATGGGCAAACAAAGATTTCAAGCGCTTCCTTTGCTCGGGAATGACTCGATCTCCAGCAAATGCTGCCAAATCGGATGAGAATAAGCTGGGCTCATGGCATCAATGCTACCGACTGGATGGCAAGCTCATCGCGGTGGCAGTCTTGGATCTGATGCCAAATGGTGTGAGCTCGGTCTATATCTTGTAAGTGTTCGACAGTAAACAGCAAGAGAAACCACTAACAAGAGAAGCTATGACCCGGAATACGAGCAATGGGAGTTTGGGAAACTGAGCGCAATGCGGGAAATCGCTTTTGCCATTGAAGCGCAATACCAGTACTACTACATGGGTATGCTCGACACAGCCACTTCTTATTCTTATCTTCTTACTTTCTTAACTAATCTGAATCGAAAACAGGCTACTACATCCACTCATGCCAGAAGATGCGCTACAAGGGAACGTTCCGTCCGCAGTACATCCTAGGTATGTTTCTCAGTGGACTATCAACCCATTACAATGAACGTACCTAACACACATCTACAGACCCCGAAAGCCATACATGGGACCCTCTTGATGGAGAACTATCCAAGAAGCTCGACGAACGACCCTACGTATCGCTCTCACGGGACCGACAAACCACAACCACAACCACAACCACAACCACAACCACAACCGGAGACAACAACACAGCAACACAAGAAGAAGCAGACGCCGAGATCAATGACGAAGAAGTCTCCCTCTTCGATCTCAATATGCCCGGTAACATGACGCTCGACGAAATCAAAGCGCTGGATCTGGATCACTGGCTTCTGCTGGTCCACGGTACTTTCGTGCATATGATTGTAAGCCCGCATTCTCATCCTATAATTTCCAATCTCTGGCTGCATACTGACTGATAACTACAGGACCTCGTCGGATGGGAGAAAATGCCCATTGATAACCCGCAGTCCGTCAAGGGTATCATTGCCGAGTTGGCGGCCGTGCTGGGTCCGGAGGTCGTTAAGAACAGTGCTGTGGTTCTTTTCGACTAGCGGAGTAGTGAGTATGTAATAGTTACCGTGCACGTGTCTGTTCATGTGGTGGAGATCGTATAATAGCTACTACCATTCAGCGGGGTAAAAGCAGATACTGCAGTAAAATATGAAAGCCAACTTGACCTGCTTTGAGAGACTTGTTTAGGTCGAAGTCAGCAGTGGTGTACTTTTCCAGCGTAATGTGGGTGTATTTTTGCCTGACTAGTAGTATGATATTGATTCTGATCTGATCATGAAGTAGTTCTGGATTAGAGAATAACAAAAGGACTTCATGAAGACTTTGATGTAAGCTAGCTAGTATGTTTATGTAAGGAAGATTGATTCAAGTGGTTATCCAATTTTTAGGTATATTTGCATATCACTATATATAGCTGATCGGTCTGTATTTTCATGAATCGATCACAAGAAGGAGAGAGTAAAATAATCATGCTGAGAGACATGCTTCATAACCAACAAGTGCTGAACATATATGCACATAAGACAATCTCCCCCATCCCATATCCAGACGCCATTCATGATCCAAAAACATTTACTGCAAGTAAACAGAGAAACCCTGATGGCCAAGCGATGCATCCCAAAATCTCAAGTCTAGAATCAGAGCAATCCAATCCCATGCACCACACGCGCCCAGTCACACCGAGGACTGTATATTAAAGAGGAAGCGATGAAAATAATAAAGCAACGAAGGGCATATTGGCAGTTCTTAGATACCCCCCATCAGCTCCACTGGGGGCCGTGACGTCTTGGGCGGCATCTTCTTGACCGACATCTCGATAGGGCTCATGTCCATATCGATATCCTCGTCTGGGGAAGCACTGGTGTCCTCGACCATGACAGCAGGCAAGTTAGGGCTACCTCCGTGGTCCTCGGGGTGGTAGATGAGGGTGCTGCTGCGACTGCGCGTCTGCGACAGGGCCACGGGCCAACTGCTCGTCCTCTTGTCCGAGGTCATGGACATCGGAGTACCCGGCTGTTGTTGCTGCTGCTGTTCGATAGATGACACCACCACTCCCGTCGCTGCTTCCTCGACACCGGACTGCTCGGTCTTCAACTTGGCCAAAGCCTGGGCGAGATCACTGGCGTGGACTTCCTTGTTCGGGGGATCTTCCTGGCGCATGACCCAGCCGTGGGGCGGGGAGGGGGGCGGTGAGATGAAGAAGAGCTTGTCGACTTGCGGGGCCTCCAGGAGTTTAGGGCGGGACTCAAGGTCGTCCATGATGGGAGTTGGTTCGCCGAAGTAGATCTTGGGGACGATAGGGCGGTTGAGCAGTGGTGCGCCAGTTAGGAGTTTGCGGATGCGGAGAGCGTCGGAGTCCGTGTGGAAAGAGCAGAGGATGCGGCGGAGGGAGGGGAGGGGAGAGAAGGAGTTGAGAGGAGCCAGAGACTCGAGATAGGCTTTAAGGTTGGCGAGGGAGTCGGGTTGGAAGAGGAGAATGTCGTTCAGATCGGTTATGATGAGGGTGTTGGAGGGAGGTGTGGGTTGTGTGAGAGGGGGGAGGTTGGACATGTCGAGGGTGAGAGAGGGTCGAGAGGAGCGACGGGCTCCGAAAGAAGGAGAAGAGGAGCGAGAATGAGGTGGTGAAGCGGTGTTCATTGTGTGAATGTTGTTGTTAGTTGTGATGATGATGGTTAAAGGGTTATTTGTTTGTAAGTGTGTCTCCAGAAGAGAGAAGGAGGAGAGAGTCGGTGGTGGTGGAGTAGGAGTAGTATAAGTAGTTGGTGGTGGTGGTTGGAAGTGGAGGAGGCGATAGTAAAGATAAGCGGGAAGAACGTCAAATCTGGCAGGCGCGCTTATTCAAGGAGTCAACCACAACCACATAAAATCAACTCTATTCTTTGATGATTTTGAGAGTGGTTATTATTCAATTTGATGTTCTGAGAATGAACTGAAGAAGTAGTTTAAGAAGGAATTCTGCAGACGAAGCTGCTTGCATCTTATAGGCAGCGAGTGAAAGATCCGTCTTCGTCGACGGCGAGGCGCAGCCAAACGCCTTCGTGTCGCAGTGGAGATGCAAATCTGCTTCTTTGCACTGCCTTCCACTCACTCTTCGGCTCTTGCCCATTTTCAGGCAATTTTGGCTCCGTTCCTGTCGATCTCCGCACGCAGTTCTCCTTTCTTCGCTGCAATCTGCATAGCGCATTCGCCACACTCACTTTCTCCTCCTTCGCCGTGTGGCTGAACTGCCGCTATTGCCACTAGATGCCCCCATTATTGGTGTCGTTTACAACTCATCCCCAACAATGACGATGATGCCATTCGCTGCTCTCGACTGTGGACCTCCTGATGATTAATTCAACTGTGGCTTGACTCTCTCTCTCTCTCCTTCTCTGCCTCCTTGTTGAGGCTATCGATTCCTCCTTGACTAGTACAGTACGCAGTAAACAGGGTCTCCCGACATGATGCTCAAATCGCTAGTGTCCAATGACTCCATCATCACCAGCCTCGGAATGATTCACATGTCGTGGTCTCCACTGCCTGTGACGCATGAATGCCCCTTAGTTTCCACCCCCCTTGTCCTGGGACTTGAGTCTATCTATGTCTATTGTGTACAAAGTAAGATACATCCCGGAGGATCCCACATATCCATGGTTCCGGTTTCTCCGCAGACTCCATGATCCATCGGGTATGCAGCTCCGCCCCGACGGTGGGGAGCCGGCGATGAATGGCAGATCGCCGAATATACTACGCATACCTGTCCCCAGCAGCTGGCGATTTTCCATGTTAGCTGCGTTGCAACTCCAGGCAGGCAATATTCTATGTCTTGGCTCTGGCACAGCATATTCTTGACTGCATTGCATGTACTGGCTGGCCACGTATTCGGCTCCCATACCAAGCCTCCCTTAAAGTGATGCAGCTCGGCTGTCACCCATTGCCAAAGCCCCGGGCCTAGGACCCTGCAGTGTCGGATACCACCCAGAGTTTATTTGCAGCTTCTTTGCCTTGTCAAATCTCTGTCATGCTATGTCACATGTACGATGTCCCATGAGTCGTGGCCTTGCTCGTGCTACTTACTACCCCTAGAACGGCCTTCGTGTCATTTAGCTTAGATGTCATATGTTGGCTTCCTGCGAGGCTCATAGTGCCTTGAGACCGTTGGATCTCTCTGCTCAGCTTATCTCATTTACAGTCTTAGTCCTCTTCTCCGGAGTCAAATTCTGTCTGCCTGGAAGTCTGTGGGTAACACTGCATGAACCGATCTAGCTAAGCCCTGAGCTCTGACCACAACCCGTTTCTAGCATAGCCACTCACTGTCCCGGTGTCCCCGACATGCAATGCAACCGCTCCTTAGAGTCTAATCTGCAGCCATGTCGCACACTGCCATTCTCACGACAATGATACATTGGTCAGCCGAACGTAGATGGCACACCATCTGTATGGCGGCTTTCCACAGACATGGCGCCTTGTATGTAGCCTCCAGCAAGGCTATTACTCTGCCAGACATGCCATTGCATGACCGTCCTTCCGCAGCTTCATACGATCACAACAAGGCTTCTTCCAGCTCTCGACTGGCAGGTGCACATGAACTCCTAATGGGATTGAGGCTAGGTAGATGAGCCGCGCTCTGCATAAATGTTGGCGGCTGCGCTTACAACAGCGTAGGCAAACGCATTACACAGGTATATTTCAGCCAACATTACTGGTTGGATACAAACTATGGAGTTTGGGGGCCATCTGTAGAAGCTCCTAACTAATGCATCCCTTTTCATTGCTTTTGCTGATTTTGTGGGCTCATATCGGATCCATCCTTGGCGTTAGGGCGCAGTTACCGAGTGATCCTTCACCGACAGTTATTCAGACACATAATGATATCCATGTGCGCTGTCATGATGCTTGATCAAAGCCTCGATGTCTCCAGCTAGGCAATAGTGACTCGGGGATCATCCACGTCTACTGAGATGGGTTTTTGTGCCGCTTTGCAAATTCTTTAATCACTTTCACAACCTCGAAGATGGTTTCCGTCTGTCTGACAAGAGGTGCAGACGTTTCTGTGCAAACAGCACTCGAGTTTTGGGGGGAATGCCCATGAGAGTCTGGCACAATCGATCTGTCGTGTCATTGGAGACAACTATCATGCCATTCGATGGGGTCTTTCCGGCCTACAGTCAGCATAGATATCCCTCTGAAGGGCATCGTTCTGTTGGCCCTTGGTAGTGATTTCCATATCAAGAGTCGTATGTGCTAATAGCAAAATGGTCGTCTTGCTCATGGAAGGGGGAGTCACCCGGTCACTAGTGCGCATGTCAATGGCCATCAACTCATGGCTTAGACATCCATTTTCTCGCGTCGGCGCTACTGTAGCCACGGCTCACTACTGAAAGAAGCCAATAGTTTAAGTAGTAAGGCCTTCAATGAACCATGTTTCTCCGTTAAGTACAGATTGTTCACCGGTGGTGACCGACTTCGCACATTGATTGTTTCGGCAGTATACTCACCGCCATGATTGCCGCTTTTATACATGGAAGAAAGCTTACTAAGTCCCATGCGTCATAGTCGATACAGATAGGGATCATGCATATAGACAGCAGCAGAATACCTGAATTAAGTAAACAAATAGGTTTGAGGCAGATGAGAACTGTATTGAATGTCAGCTATAGCCTTGCAATGCTTAGTTAAAGACAGCACGCGATCATCCGGCCCGAGGTTTCTCCCGGTGAAGGCGGTCAGATCAAGCCGCCGAAAGTTCTGCTTTCCAACGATGTCGCCGATTTTGTTCAACCTCTCACGCCTCCAAGCTTCATCATACTCTGTTATTCACAGTCACCATCTTTCACCTCATCTCCTTTTAAAATGTTCCAGAGAACCTTCCTCAGACAGGCCCAGCGGTCCCTCCGCTCTGTGCGCCCTACCTCCATCAACACCTCCGCTCTCCGTCGCACGCCGCAGCTCCCCCAGACTGTCCGCCCAATCGCTCCTCAGTCTGCCTACCGGTTCTACTCTACTGAGAACAAGGCTGAGAATGGCGAGAAGAAGGAGGGTGAATCTGCCCAGGAGGCTGAGGACCCCGTCCGCAAGGAGCTTGAGGAGAAGAAGAAGGAGGTCATTGAGCTGAAGGTAAAGCTCCCCTCCCAACACGAGCGCCCGGCTCAATTTGCGCTACGCCTTCCACGGTGGTCAATGGTGCCTTGCAGATCTCTAACTCTTTCATTAGGACAAGCTGCTCCGCTCGAAGGCCGACTTCCTCAACCTGCAGGAGCGCACCAAGCGTGACATGGAGAACTCTCGCAACTTCGCTATCCAGCGCTTTGCTGGCGACCTTCTTGAGTCCATTGACAACTTTGACCGCGCCCTCCTTGCTGTTCCCAAGGACAAGCTTGATGCTCCCCAGACTGAGGCCAACAAGGACCTGTTGGAGCTCGTTTCCGGTCTGAAGATGACTCAGAACATCCTTCTGAACACCCTGAAGAAGCACGGTCTTGAGCGCTTTGACCCCAGCGAGCCCACTGAGGATGGCAAGACCCAGAAGTTCGACCCCAACCTCCACGAGGCTACCTTCATGGCCAAGGTTGAGGGCAAGGAGGATGGTGACATCATGTACACCCAGAGCACCGGATTCCGCCTCAACGGCCGCGTTCTTCGCGTAAGTGATTGTTCTATAGCATGTATACGTGGTCAAGCATGCTAACTTGTTTACTATAGGCTGCCAAGGTCGGTGTCGTCAAGAACTAGACGCTTCTCCAACACTCTTAACCATTATCTCTCCCTTTCCGCCTCCCTGTCTTATCTTCTTGTTGTATAATATACCAAATACGTCTTCGCTATGATGGGGATCGACTTATGTTAATCCGACAGGCTGGAACATCTGGAATTGTTCCAGGTCTCTGTTGCTTTGTCCATGAACGCATGTGTGTATGATACACCTTACCTGTGTTGTGTGGTCTTGGTGCTTTTATATCTTTTCTGTTACTTGGCGTTGTTTCTGAACTCTCTCCTCCCTATTTTGTATATTATATCCCTGGCTGGTGTCTTTGTTCCTTTACTTCTCTCATGAAAAAAAGTGGGATTGTGTTGTTGGGATTGGCATTGGCACGGATGTGGATGACATTTGCATGGCATTGGATCATGTTGATTTTTATTGCATCACTTTGCTTGCCCGGTAGGCAATGCAAGGTGTTTTGATCTAAACGACTAATAGAAAGTCTCTTGATCAAGACGATTGATGAAGTTACAGTGTGCAATTCGGTAACAACCAGCGTAAGGCATGTATCTGCGGTCTAATGGTCCGCATTGTTCTCGTGCAATCAACAATAATAATGACTCAATATTTCGGGAATACCTATCAAGAATATCTTTTTTTTTCCTGCTGTATCCTCGTAATTGAATGGTGAGTTGCAATTGCGCATCTCCCTCGGTGGCTCATTTTCCCGGCCCGATGTGTTTTGTAGACTCGGAGCTCTCATACGCCGCAACCAGCAGTTGACTGCCCTCGGCGCCAGTCGTTGATTAACTCACACAGCACTCCGAGATGCGTCTCTTTGCCACTGGGAGGGCCCTGCGCGCAAGCAGTGCCCGGTGGGCAATTGCTCCCTCACGTCAGAGCGTACGCATCCCACTCTCGCAGTTCTCGGAGCCCTTTGCCGTGAAGCGGAGAGATTGGAGTTCGACGGCAATCCGCCGAACAAACGAGAATGCAGATGGCAATCAAAAGCCCTCCCTCCGGCCTTCAGTACCGCAATCTTTGACCATTGAAGGTCAGTCCTACCGCACAGATCAGTGGACGAATACCCCGGATACGATTCTCTCCCACATCGGCCGCCGCCTATATCTCGATGAGAACCACCCTCTAGCGATTACGCGCCAACTGATCGAGAGCCAGTTCCCTGGCCCGACATACGGAAACTACACCGAGAAGAACCCTGTTGTGTCGACGGCGCAGAACTTCGATGTCCTGGGCTTTCCCTTGGATCACCCTGGTCGGAGTCGCACGGACACTTACTACATCAACGATAAGACGGTCTTGAGGACACACACCAGTGCTCATCAGCAGGCATACTTTCAGCAAATCAATCGCAATGAGAGCACGCGTCCGGAGGAAGTTGGCTACACTGTCGTCGCTGATGTGTATCGGAGAGATGCGATCGATCGCAGTCACTACCCGATCTTCCATCAGATGGAAGGCGCTATGCTTTGGAAACGTCCGGATAATGAGCCCTTGAAGCATGCTAGTCAGACTGCCGCTACGATCATGGAGGATCTCAAGAAGATCCCTGCTCATGACGTCGAGGTCGAAGACCCCAACCCTACGATCCATGCCCAGAGGAACCCCCTCCAGGCGGAATATCATAGCGAGGAGGAAGTTGAGGCCATCGCGGCGCACCTCAAGCGGTCTCTGGAGCGCATGGTCATAAAAATCTTTACCGAGGCCAGCAAAGCTGCTGCTGGTAGCAGTGAACAACCAGAACCCCTAAAGGTCCGCTGGGTGGAGGCATACTTCCCATTTACCAGCCCGTCCTGGGAGTTGGAGGTATTCTGGCAGGGTGACTGGCTCGAGGTCCTTGGTTGTGGTGTTATCAAACAGGAGCTGCTGAACAACTCGGATGTGCCCAACCGTGTCGGATGGGCCTTTGGTATCGGTTTGGAGCGTATTGCTATGCTTCTGTTCAACATTCCGGATATCCGCCTGTTCTGGTCGCGTGACGAGCGATTCCTTTCCCAGTTCCGCGCGGGTGAGATCACTCGCTTCGAACCGTTTTCCAAGCACCCCGCCTGTTACAAGGATGTCGCCTTCTGGCTGCCCTCTGCGTCTGTCAGCGGTGGCAGTGCGGCGGGCGGAGCTGCGCCCGTGCACGAGAACGACATCATGGAGATCGTCCGCGGCGAGGCAGGAGACCTGGTGGAAGACGTCCAGCTGATTGACGAATTTACCCACCCCAAGACACACCGGAAGAGCATGTGCTACCGTATCAATTACCGGAGTCTGGAGCGCACCTTGACGAATGAAGAAACAAATGACCTACATGAGAAGGTCCGACAGAAGCTTGTGGGCTTGCTGGGAGTCGAGCTCCGCTGATGGCAGCGAATGTTATTATAAATGCTCGCGATGTACTAAATGCCAAGTTACAGTTGGCGAGTCGAGTCTATATGTACAACAACTGTGTATTACCATGTTCAGATGAAATCACCTATCCTCCAAATTTAACCGAACGTTGGGCTAGGGAAGATCTAGCCGCGGCTGCTTTCATGTACCTTAATCTAGTCTACGGCATGGGACGTATGCAGCGTGACGTAGTGGCGATCCAAGCAGGGCCTATACTATGTAGTAGAGTAGGACTGTCAAGACCAGCTGAGAAGCTGCCAAACAGCTATGGCATAGTATGCTAGTTATTCCCCGGTCTTCGGAGGTAATTTAAGCACCGAGTGCATCAGCAGAGTTACCCCAAGCGAGGCTATCACGATGGAGGCGCCCCGCGGGTATCGAAGGACACAGAGAAAGGCTACTTGAAATACGCGCATTACCGAGGATTACCGCTCGGCCTCCTTCTGGCCGCCAGAAACCGAGACGCTGATTGGCCAGTGCGGTCCCAGACCGGTTAGTGCAGCCGAAAAGCAGGGTTTCGGAGACTTGATCTATGTCCGGCGCCGCCGATTTCTTACCAGCGTATTACTCACTTTACTGCGTCAGACAGGACTTTATTATTATCATCGTTGCCTTCATTCCATCTCTCGTTCAAACTACGAAATCTCCCCTCCTCCACCTCCCCCCTCTCCACTCCCCCCTCTCTCTGTCTCCCTCCCCGGGATCACTCTTCCCTCCGCTGAAATGTCTACCATGGCCAGCGGCGCGAAGTTGGAGGCGTCGCATCCTCCCAAGGCGGCGAATGCTCCAGCCCCTGCAAAAAAAGTTCATTATCCTTTCTGGTTCGGTGGTTCAGCATCATGCTTTGCGGCTGCCGTTACTCACCCTCTGGATCTCGGTAAGCTCTAATTCTGCCAACACCGGAAAAAAAAGTATGTGCTGGAATTGAAGCTAATCTTCGTCTATAGTGAAGGTAATTCATGCCTCCTGGACTTCTTATAGGAACTCTTGATTTTTCCCCCTCCGCGTGCTTATTCCTATACTTCGTTGTCTCACCGGAACGCTGATCGATGTGCGTTTTAAAAATTTATAGGTCCGCCTGCAGACCCGCGGGCCTGGCGCCCCCTCGACTATGGTCGGCACATTCGTGCATGTGTTCAAGAATGACGGATTCTTTGGTCTTTACAGCGGGGTATGTAGTATCCACCAACCCTCCAGATCATGTTGATTTCAGTACATGATGCTAAAGTCACTTCTTGTAGTTGTCCGCCGCCATTCTGCGCCAGCTGACCTACTCCACCACACGATTCGGTATCTACGAGGAACTCAAAAACCACTTCACCTCCCCCGACTCGCCTCCTGGCCTCTTCACCCTGATCGGTATGGCTTCTGCCTCCGGCTTCATCGGTGGCATGGCTGGTAACCCCGCCGACGTTCTGAACGTGCGCATGCAATCTGACGCCGCTCTCCCTCCCGCTCAACGCCGTAACTACCGCAACGCGATACACGGATTGGTGACGATGACGCGCACCGAAGGTCCCGCCAGCTTGTTCCGCGGTGTGTGGCCGAACTCGACCCGTGCTGTTCTCATGACAACGTCGCAATTGGCCTCGTACGATACCTTCAAGCGCTTGTGTCTCGAGAAGCTGGGCATGTCTGATAACATGGGAACGCATTTCACGGCCTCCTTCATGGCTGGATTTGTGGCTACCACTGTCTGCAGCCCTGTCGATGTGATCAAGACTCGCGTCATGAGCGCTTCTCCGGCTGAAGGCCGCAGTCAGAGCATCGTTGGACTGCTCCGTGATATCACCAGAAAGGAGGGCCTCGCATGGGCTTTCCGTGGTTGGGTGCCGAGCTTCATTCGTCTCGGTCCTCACACCATTGCTACATTTATCTTCCTTGAGGAGCACAAGAAGCTCTACCGCTTGTTGAAGGGACTTTGATTTCCCTGAACAGGTTTGACGTATAGATTTGCTTCATTCTGATTTGTCTTTTCTCTTTTTTCCAGGCACATATCTGCGATATCCGTCCATATGCTGTGTTTTCTTGGGATAGATGGTCTTTTGCTTTTTACTTTGTTATAAACCTTTCTTTCTTGATCTCTCATTGGCGAAGCATTACCGGGAGGACAAAAGTCTTGCGCATTTATTTTGTGTTCATACCCTTGTATATATCTTATAGATTACATTTTCTTTACTGTTATCTCTCATTTCTTTTCTTTTCTCTTATCTTTTACACTTGACTTCTACGATGTCTCTTCGAGCTGGCAATTGTGACTTCTGTCCTCCAGTTTCTTCTCAACGCTTCGCCGACATCTCACCTTTCTCTGTCTGTCTGAATCTGTCCATTTTCTGGGTTAACTAATATGAAACAGCACGTACCTCGGAGGCATATATGTCTCCTCACTTGACATCCGATACACAAGACTTAGACCTCCTTGGAATATGAGACCTCCATTCACCGAGATTGACATCAGATTTGAAAGCCATCTATCACCAACTAACGTTCATAACTCTATACAATGTCTTGGTGAGAGAGTGCTTTTTGCTATAACCTACAGTTCATACAACATTGTATTCTTTGCAATTTAGATCAGATCAGAATGAAATGAAATGCCATAGTATTCTTCAGACTCATATAGTACTTACAGTATTGTATCATCTTTTCCCTCAATTCTAACACTCGATTGTGGCTGATTTTCTTTTCAAAAACGTACACTGCCACAGGACTAGTAGTACGTACGTAGCATTTTGACCGTATCATCATTGTTCATTGTATCGGTTGTATAACTAGCAGTGAACAGCAGTGAGGTTGTCTTCATAGTAATTTAGTAATTGCCTCGCAGTGGACATAGTGAGGTAAGCAGATGCATAACTGGGTTAATCAGTTATCAAGTCAGTGGTTCATTATGTTGTGAAAGATTTGTTTTGGGGGTTGGTGATTGGTGGGTTGGTTGGTTGGTTTACTATCGGATATCGTATGATCTTTTGATGGTGTTGTTGGTGGTAAGCAGAGTAGTTATCATTTAATATTGTAAAATGAACGTTTATATGGCTGCCTATTTTATATCAAAATTAGGGTGATAGGTGGAACAGAACAGATTCATAAGAAAATTATTGGTTACGAGCTTAATGCTGAGCTTTATGGGCGCGGTTTGTTTTGACACATCATTCCAACTACGCGAGTCTATATACACTCGTCTTCCAACCCAGCCGAATTGAGTCTGGGGAGGGGCTCAGAGCTAACAATTCTCGCTGGATCCAACTTATAGGGTAGAGTACATGTTGACAAGACACACGAAAAACAACTTTGAACTTTCAATTAACGGTGAACAAAGTAGTTAAATGCGTCTACCGGTCGAGACGAGCGGGGAAGTTACCAGCCTCTGTAAGTTTTTTTTCGTTAGTATGATGCTGTTTGATATATAAGATATAGGATCATATAATGGGACTACATACCGCGCTGGCCGTCCCATCTGTCAGTCCAGGCCTTGGGGCAGAGAGAGCGGAAGGCGTGGTAGAACTGTTTTCGGTTCAATGGTGGTTAGGATTGAATTCGCTTGGATGTGGAATGGGGAGGCAGTAGCTAGCTAACCTGGCGGCATGGGCGGAAGTCCTCGCCCTTGGCGGTGACACACTTGTGGTAGTCGACGTAGTTCTGCCAGCAGTGCTTGGTCCTGTGAGTGTGGAGAAAAGATGTATGGTTAGTTATTGCAGTCCGTACTGGGAGGCAGATTGAGCGGAGAGGTGTGCGAAAATCACGTACTGGTTCTGCTGGGGGAAACGAGCGTCATAGCCTATTCATCACCTCATATGTCAGCCCACAAAACTACCTCGATCGCGACGACAGCGACGGCGCCGTGAATGCTCGAAAACCTATCCTAGACGTACCAGCTGTGAAATGATTAGCAATTGACCTTAGTTACGGGACGAATTGGACCCATTGGAGGTTGGGAGAGGGAAAGCTCACCAGTCACGAACTTGAAGGGCTTGGTCTCGACGGGCTCATCGGGGTCAACTTCAGGAATGGCACCCATTGTGATAGATTGAAGGTATAGTGACCTTAAATAGGAAACTTGGGGTGTTGATTGGAGGGGGGTGGGATGAGCGGAGGGAGGAGGGGAGGAGGTCTGGAGAAACCGAGAAAGAGAGGAGGTTCTGCGGCCGGTGGAGTGGAATGACCCGTGAAGCCGTGAAGCCGGAAGTTCACGTTTGACCGCCTCAGGCGCCAAACTAGAGGTTACTAGCGAGCCACTCATGCGCCCAGGTTTCCTAAACACCCGAACCACCACCGTGACTTCCTACCGCCTTACCTAAGTGGTGCAACCTCCCCTTCCATCAAGCTCAGACTTCCGTCACCACTTCCCGATCTTGCCATCCCACCACTTAAGTCGTTCTGATACTCAACTTCAACCACCCCGGTTGCTCAAAGCCCATTCGCCATGTTCCCTACTCGTGTTCTGCGCATGCAGGCCTCCCGGCCTTTCGCTTTTCCTGCTCCTGTGAGTTGGCCCTCGGTCCCCCGTGTTGGCGTGGATGTTGGGGAAAAATTACGTTTGGCAGGGTGGCTAACAAGTGGCTACAGAAGGAAAACCACAGCGGTATGGGGTTCCCTCCCCGGTTTGCGCATAGGACCGATACTTGAATGATGGAATTGTGTTGTTGGGGGTGGGAATTGGACTAACGCCTGGCTTCTAGCCCACACTATCTCTCAGCGTCTGCGCACTCTGAAGAGAGTCCCCCCGGAGTTGATCCCTCTCGGTACGTCGCGGTCTGAATGATTAACACCTTGCCATTGGTTTACAGCAGTGCTAATGATTGTTTCTTGAATCCTACAGGTCTGGTCCTTGGGTATGTTTATTTCCTGATATCCTATGGCTTCTACATGACATGCCGTGAAGTCTAATCCCGACCGCCTCCCACCTCCCTTCCTCTCCCACTCCGCAGTCTTCATCTGCCCTCCACTGACGCAGTTCCATCGCAGTGTCGCCGTCGGTGCTGCCATCTACTCCAGCACCCGCAAGCTCATGACCGACAAGACCCTCCGTCTGTACCGCAACAGCCCCGAGGACCGCGAGCACTAAGAATGTACCATCACATTTGATTTCCAAATTGCAATGGGCGATTCTTTGTTTGATTTTTCGGCGATCTGTATCATTCACGGGGTAGTCGGGCCTTGTCGCGCGGCCAGAGTTAAGAATGGAATGCTCGAAAATTCTCAGGCTCAGGGTTGGAGCGCGTGTAAATAGTACGGCTTTAAACGAAGGGTTCCTGATGGTGTAATATCGCAATATTACTGTCGCCCGCTTCTTGGCTTATCTTTTTCTTCGTTGCGCCAGTTTCCCCTGGCGTGAGTGGATTATCGTAGAGCTCATTCCGGCTTGGGTCCGGCCACGTCCAGTTCCTCGAGTCCTTGCATGGGATCTTGACGTTCGGCTCCGTCGGTCTCGCCTCCCTCGGCAGCCAATTTGTCTTCCTCATCGACGGCATATTTGGCCAAGTACCCCTCCTATTGTTTCATACGTAATTAGCAAATGATCTGTAATAACAAGGTGAACGTCACAGCGTACCTGTTCCCAGATAGCCGTCTTGCTGCCGAGTCCTTCGTTGCTGTCCTTCTGCGGCTTAGCAGCAGCAACCTTGATTGTCCGGCCATATAGTTCGCTTCCATCCATGTTGTCGATCGCCTCTTTCGCATCTTCGGGCAGATCAAACTCCACATATCCAAAACCGCGGTGGAGCTCGTTGGAGTTCGGGAGATCGGGTTTGGGGAGCGTAATATCAACCACTTCACCAAAGGGAACGAATGCCTCGGCCAGCGTCTGCATTGTCACGGCCTGGTCAAGACCCCCCACGTAGACGGTACATTTTAGACGTGCTTTCTCGCTCATGGTCGGTCGTAGCAAACTTCCCAAATGGGCTAGGATGGAAAACGTCACTGAGATGAGGGGGAGAGAAAGAGCGACCGCGTCGGGGCCTTTTCACTTACTGCCTAGGCAAAGCTCTAGACTTTGGGACGGAGCAACCTGATATCACGTGGTGCCCCCGGGGCGGGTGTTTTGGCGAGGGCCCAAAGCGGTTTAGGGGCCATCAGCCCCCCCGAGCGCCCTCCAGGAGGACACTTGGTTGATTGCAGTGACGCCCTCGATCGCATACTTGGCAACTCACCGTACATGCACCCCTCGGTTCTTCTATAGAGAGGGGAGGTTTCTTTCTTAGATTGTTTCTCTGCTCGTTTTTCTGGTTCTCCCGCTCCTGGTGTTGCTTCTCGTCTATGACCTTTGGTGCCAGACCCTCCTAATTCGTGTCTGGTCCTAACTCTCCTAATCTATACCCTTTCCTTTTCCCGCCGCTCCTTTACATCTCACCATGGTGCGTCTGAGGGAGATTCCCCGGACGGCCACTTTCGCCTGGTCCCCCGGGGCTGCGTCGCCTCTGATCGCCACCGGTACTCGGGCCGGTGCTGTTGACGTCGACTTTTCCAATCAGACATGTCTGGAGCTCTGGGATCTGGCACTCAGCCGCCATGAGACCGGCGGAGAGCTACAGCCAGTAGCTAAGATTGATACGGACTCCGGGTAAATAGAGCCTTGCGTTTACCCTGCAATTTGCCGTGTAAGGGAAGCCGACGTGCTAACTATATCGCTCCGATAGCTTCAATGACCTAGCTTGGACGGAATCCGAAGATAACTCGCGGGGTGTGATAGCCGGTGCTCTGGAGAACGGCTCGTTGGATTTGTGGGATGCCGATAAGCTGCTTAATGGTTCCGAGTGAGTTGGCGGGTGTGCTCTATGTCGGGGCTGTACAATTGGCTGACGGTTCAAAAGTGATGCTGTGATCTCGAGAACTTCCAAACACTCAGGGGCTATCAAGGCTCTCCAGTTCAACCCCAAACACTCGAACTTGCTGGCAACCGGTGGTGCAAAGGGCGAGGTAGGCTACATGATGGAGAGGTGTCTAGACAGTCAGGCTTATGATTGGACAGCTCTACATTTCCGACCTGAACAATGTCGCGAACCCATACCGACTCGGAGGCACGGCGGCCCGCGCGGACGACATCGAATGCTTGGACTGGAACAAGAAGGTTGCACACATCTTGGTCACTGGTAGCAGTGCAGGCTTTGTTACTGTGTGGGATGTCAAGACAAAGAAGGAGAGCTTGACGCTCAACAACATGGGCCGAAAGGCAGTTAGCGCTGTGGCCTGGGACCCGGAGAAGGTGAGTTCAGGAACACCCCTTATGTTTCCTAATTTTTGCTAACGCAGCGCAGCCTACGAAACTTGTCACTGCGACCCCTCTCGAGTCCGATCCTCTGATCTGTGTCTGGGATCTCCGTAACTCGCACGCTCCAGAGAGGACCCTCCGCGGCCATGAGTCCGGTGTGTTGTCGCTCTCCTGGTGTGCCCAGGACCCCGATCTGCTTCTCTCCTCCGGAAAAGATAACCGTACGATGTGCTGGAACCCGCAAACCGGCCACGCCTATGGCGAATTCCCCGTCGTCACCAACTGGACCTTCCAGACCCGCTGGAACCCGCACAACCCCAACTTCTTCGCTACCGCATCGTTCGATGGAAAGATCTCCATCCAGACCATTCAGAACACCAGCACCGAAACCGCACAGGCCATCGCCGATCAAAATCAGGCTCTGGATGGCGAGGACTTCTTTGCCAAGGCACAGACTCAACCTCAGGTCTCGAGCTTCTCGTTGCCGAAGCCTCCCAAGTGGCTCGAGAGGCCCTGCAGCGCCACCTTCGGCTTTGGTGGCAGAGTCGTCTCGGTCAACCTGGTTGAGAAGGGACAGCGTGCATCCAAGATTAAGATCACTCCGTTTGAGGTTGATGAAGCTGTTGGGAAGTCGACTGAGACCTTCGAGACCGCTCTCAAGGAAGGTGATCTGCGCAGCATCTGCGAAAGCAGAGCGGCTAACGCTGGCTCCGATGAGGAGAAGGCTGACTGGAAGGTCATTGAAGCCTTGATCTCTAAGGACCCTCGCAAGGGATTGGTTGAATATCTTGGCTTCGCTGACCAAGCAGACGAGGCTGCGGATAGCCTGTCTAAGCTCGGTCTCGATAAGGAAGAGGAAGTCAATGGGGAGGCGACGAAGGAATCCCGCGGGTCGGGAGCCAAGAAGCACAGGCGCCTGCAGTCGATGTTTGATGCCAATCCCGAAGCAGACAGTTTCTTGTCCGACTTGGCTGCCTCCAAGGGAGCCAAGACCAACAATCCCTTCCACATCTTCAACGGTTCGGAGAATGAAGCCGACACGGGCATTACCCGCGCGTTGCTCCTCGGTGACTTTGAGAAGGCCCTTGACGTTGCCCTCAAGGAAGATCGTCTCTCTGATGCCTTCATGATCGCCATCTGCGGCGGTCCTAAGTGCATTGAGAAGGCCCAGGAGCACTACTTCCAGAAGCAGACCAACAGCCCCAACTACGTGCGCCTGCTTGCTTCCATCGTCGGCAAGAACCTCTGGGACGTGGTTTACAACGCTGACCTGTCTAACTGGAAGGAGGTCATGGCGGCTCTCTGCACTTTCGCTGACGAGAAGGATTTCGCTGACCTTTGCGAGGCTCTGGGTGACCGACTGGAGGAAGAACTCCGCAACAACGCGGACAAGGGTATGCGCAAGGATGCTTCCTTCTGTTTCTTGGCCGGTTCCAAGCTCGAGAAGGTCGTTGCGATCTGGATTGAGGAGCTGCGTGAGCACGAGCAGAAGGCTATCGAGACCGCCGCTGATGACTCTGCTTTCTCGATTCATGTCCGTGCTTTGCAGGGGCTCATCGAGAAGGTGACCATCTTCCGCCAGGTCACCAAGTTCGAAGACACCGAACGGACTAAGGAGTCGGACTGGAAGCTCAGCACGCTGTACGACAAGTACATCGAGTATGCCGACGTTGTTGCTACACACGGACGCCTGCAGGTTGCGCAGAAGTATCTCGACCTCGTGCCGGAGAAGCACCCCGAGGCTGAGATTGCACGGAACCGTATCAAGTTGGCTACGAGACAGGCAACCCCTCAGAGAACTCAGCCCCCCGCCGCTACAGTGACCAGGGCCGCCCTCAACAAGCCTCTGCCCCAGCCTAACACATTCCAGCCTCAGAGAGCTTACTCACCTGCTACGCCAGCTGCTGCTCCCAGCCCCTACGCTCCAGCTGCCGCGGCTGTCAACCCCTACGCTCCTCCGACTGCCGCTGCCAACGCCTATGCACCCCCAACTGCTGCTGCCAACCCTTATGCTCCGCCTACTGCTTCGGCGCCGGCGCCACCTGTCAACCCATATGCGCCCCCAGCTGGCGGTAGCAGCTACACCCCTGCAGGATACCAGCCGCCCAAGGCACCTGCTTACGGTGCCCAGCCCCTAGGCGGTGGTGTGCCTCCGCCTCCGCGTGCATCCAACCAGTCTCCTGCCCCTACCGTCACCACCTACACCACTGCCACAAATCTGCCCGCATGGAACGATCTGCCAGAAGGGTTTGCCAAAGCTCCCACACCTCGCAGGTCCACTCCTGCCGCTGCGACGGTTGCGTCTCCCTTCCCCAACCAGTCCCCCACTCTCACACAGGGACCTCCGCCACCGGCTGGTCAGCGAGCACCCTCAGTTCCCCCTCCGCCGAAGGGCAGTGCTCCCCCTCCACGGATGACCTCGCCACCTGCCGTGCAGCCGGCTTCGACTACGATGCCCCCTCCGCCGGCCAACCCTTACGCTTCCTTGCCCCAGTCTCCTCCCATGGCGTCCACGATGGGAGTCCCAGCATCCATTCCTCGGGGACCTTCTCCATACAACGCGCCGCCTACCATGCCTCCTCCTCCCAACCGGTATGCTCCTAGCCCAGCCGCACAGGCTGCCAGCCCGCAACTGCAGACTCGGGCACCTGTCCCTCCGCCCCCTCAGGCAGCTGCTTCTCCGTATGCCCCTCAACCTCCGGCCGCGGGCCACTATGTCCCGAGCACTCCTCCGCCACACGTGCAGCCCCCGCCGCAACAAGCCCCTCCACCTCAGGCCGCCCCCGGATCCCGGCCAAGCACGGCTTCCTCGCAGAAGAAGCCCGCACCTGCCCCGCCTAAGTACCGTAAGTGATCTCATACCTCTCTTTTGGTGGCCTCTGTTTCTGACATCTCATAGCCCCTGGTGACCGTTCCCACATCCCGGCCGACGCCATGCCTGTCTACGAGATCCTCTCCGCAGACATGCAGCGCGTGAAGTCTCGGGCCCCGTCTTCCTTCAAGGCACAGGTCGATGATGCTGAACGGCGGTTGAACATCCTGTTCGACCACCTCAATAACGAGGACTTGCTCAAGCCCAACACCATTGCGGACATGGCGGAGCTGGCTCGCGCCATCCAGGCGCGCGACTATGAGACCGCCCGGACGATCCACGTCGATATTATGACTAACCGGCTGGACGAGTGCGGTAACTGGATGGTGAGCATCTCTACTTTTATACTGAACTATACCCATACTAATACTCTATCAACAGGTTGGTGTGAAGCGTCTCATCAGCATGAGCCGGGCCACCCCGTAAATTCGAGTCAAGTTTCAGTTTAAGAGGCTATGACAGGAAAAGGAAGTAAAAAAAGAACGATTATGAGTTGTATGTAAAAGAAAGACGAGTCCTCTTTTATTATGCTTCACTGTACTGCTCATTGTCCGGTCCCGTTTTGCCTTGGTTGGGCTATTTGCGAATTGTTCCTTCAGATGTCAATGTTATTACTATGTTTATTCTATTGTTGGTAGTATTGAAAAGCCGTAGGACCATACTTACCACTAGGTTTCATTCATATGCATTAACCCTGTACGAGGAATACTACGTTATTAGTAGGTATGTGTGTCTAGTACTATAGAACCACGTTTACAGTGCAAGTATGATACGTAATATCTGCAGCGAAACATTGATATACGTTACTATAATATATACAGCATTTACTATCCATTCATCCAACCATCCACGATCATATATCAAATACCCCCTACTAAGAACCCAAC